GGCCCTTTTCCTGAGTGTTATGAGGTTTATGTTTTGATTTATTTTTGTGTAAACCGTAATATAATCCCCCTGCCACAGCAAATCTGTAGACTGAATTTCCATTTGCCTGATTATATAATTTCACTAAAATATTTTAGAAAATTAACCTATTTCCATATTTATTTATATTTTCCTATTTTTCCTATTTGTCGGTTTGGAACTATTGTGATAGCTTTTTGTTTACAGTGCAAACCATGGATGTATGGATGTATGGATGGATGGATGGATGTTTGTGACAAGCAAACGCGAAAAATACTAAACCGACAAGGTTGAAATTTGGTATGATTAGATGACATCCCCGATTAACATATTCTTACCTCAAAAATTCGTTCAGTCTCCACCCCGGTGGCTCTGGCTCTGGACTTTCTCTAGTTAACCTTATGAGAATTCATATTTAAAGAAATTAAAGAATTTTGTCAGCCGTTTCAACTGTACAAGTTGGTTCTATGATATTAAACAGCATTAAAAAGTTATAAGGCTCGCCAAACAGGGTGCATCACTATTATGTTGTTTATTTGCATTAATGACCACAGCTAATTTGAACCAACTAGCAAAAAAAGTTGTGGTACACAATGAGAACTTTACTTTTTTCCATGGTCTAGATGCAGTGGTAGAACATCAGGACTATGGTAGATGTGTGCTACACAATAGGATACCGTATAAATTAAAAGACCAGTTTTTTTTAATCGTGTCCTCTCCCATAACTGCGATAGCCTAAGCATTTATACTCATATGACAACCCCGTACGAAGGACGGGTATACTCCACTAGTAACACAATAATACAAATACAGTATACTAATACAATAATACTGTAGGTTTCCGTAGTCTGTGGCCATAGGTTCGTCTGAACTGTCAATCAATTCTGAGAAATTCACAGTTGTAAATTCTTACTAGTCTTTTTCTAAGTTCACGTCGCACTCGCAATTAGTTCGCATGTTTTATCTAGGAAAGCAGGTAGCCTATGCCCTAAGTCATAGCATTTGTAGGTTAAGTATAATAATAACAAACATGCTTATCGTAGGTTTGTAGGCATACTTGTTCAAGAATATGCCGTGGTAGGTTTTGTTTATAAATTTTATGTTTTAATTCTTGTCTAATGACGATATTGATTTGTATTAGTGCGAAAATGTTAATTTATTTGTAAAGGGCATGAGCGGCCCTCTAGTCTATGTATATTACATGAAGCACAACATGAAAATGAATAAATTAAAGGAAGGTAAAAAACGGATCAGTTGCTGAAGGTCTAAATCTCGGAAGGTCTAATCAGACCTTCGACACACATTTTGCAGTTTGTACTTGATGCTGAGGATCCCATGAATACTGTACAAAATTAAAAAAATGTTTCATTCAAACTACAAGTTTATTACTTTTCCGAGAACCAGCCTTTATCAGGACTTCCGCTCCCACGCTAGTTGGCAACATCAACTGTGCTATATGAAAACAATAAATCTTGAGTAAATATACTGTAATGTTGAATTTTGAGGTTGTGGTGTTCCTTCGTAAACACATTCAATTATAATCTAGGAATATGTAAATTTATTGTTATACGTTAGCTTTATTGATATTCGATTCGCTACAGTACTATTAAATCTATAACATTTTCAATTCATGTGCGTTGTATTTTAGAGTTGGGGACTTATTTATATGCTACTAGCTGTGTGCCCGTTCTACGCACGGGGATCTTAAAGTAGTCAGTTGAAACCTTCTTATATTAAGAAAAGCAGTTGGTTTGCATATTTTCAGATATGCTGGCAAAACTATTATATATACATCTTCGCAAATACAGTATCTGACAGTTTCAAGCCAAAACAAATGCTTCGCAATTAAATGTCACCCGGATCGTGTTGGTCCATATGTTAAATAAATGTTTAAACTAAAAAAAAGCTTTATAGGCCTAGATCTATGAGGCATAGCCCTAAGGCCTATAGTTGAAAGTTACTTCCCACAATGGTAAAAGGTATTTAAAGTACTACCTCAACCTCACCATTTAACACTTTATTCGGGTTGACATTTTCATTATCAAAGTGCTCTTGTCCTTTTCGTGACACTGAGAAATAACATAATGCGTTGCCAACAGACATACACACAAAAATACAGAACTTAATTAGGGAATTTGCTACGTTTTAAGCATAACAAAGTACATATAAAATTATAATTTGAAATCTTTATCATCAAATTTTATCATAAAAATTTATATTTGCTTGGACCGAAGATGACCCGAAATGCTGTCGAAATGACGGCTTACTTTATAAAATGAAGTACTATAGACAATTTAGATTGGTAATTTAACCTATAATAAAAAATACCAAAATAGGCCACGAACTATTGATACATAAACAACGTATATCGTAAACAATTCATGATGGTTTGCTAAACAAATGTTTTACTTAAATGTGTTATCATTTTCTTAGCATAAACTAACATTTTGGAATCCAGACAGAAAAAGCAAAACTTATACAGTTAAGACATCAATTAAATTGAATAAGGCTGTAATACCACTGTATAAATAAGGTGCAACACCAACGATAACTAATTTGTAAATTACAGTGATGTGTTGGTACGTAAAAATGACTCTTGCTGCTACCAACGGTTATAAGGAAAAAACCAGTACCAAAAACCAACGTTTACAGTTAAGAATTACGTCCGACAAATTAAATGCGTTAATCAAGTCCCAAGGTTATTGATTTCTTGGTTTTGGATTTTCTCGTGAAAAGTTATCGGCAATCAAAATTATTTCCCATTAATTGCTTTATTCGTAAACAACTTTTAATGTAAACTTATTGGTGTCAGTTTGAAAAAAAAAAACAACCTTATAAAAACAACTGTTTGTTATTTAATAGATTACGCAGGCCTATTCTCTAAACAATGATTGGTATATCTTTTAACATTAGAATGAAATGTGACAAAAATTACGCAATGCTGGGTTTTTGGACGTTTGTAATTTTATTTCTTAAGTAGGTAGGCCGTGTATTCTAGGGAAAAGTTCCGGTATCAAGGATCGTCGTCGAAAAGGTTGTTATGAATAATTGGGTAGGCGTAAGTACCCAAGAGATGGGCTATGGGCCTATTGGCTGTATGGTCCAGCGATTGCATCATACGGTGAACTGTAAGTGAGTAGGAACAGAAAGTGGCACATTGGAAAAGCGAGTTTAGCATCATCCAACAACCGTAAACCTCTGTTACAATCACCCACTGCAGTTGTGATTTTTTACTTTACACTTTACACAACCACCATTGAAGCGCCGTCAATGAGTTAGTAAGCTATTGGCGACGATCATTAATACATTCAAGTTTCCCAGCCCTATACAACACTGATTCAAGGTTATCAAAACTCAAGAACAATTTTATACACAAAGAATCTCTGGTTCCTAACCTGGATGATGTTATTAAATTTTATTTATGGTTACACTATATTATTCCACTTGCGATTAATTAAATCCGTTATGTAAGACATAACGATTTTAATCTCACTTGGATGGGCTATGCCTTCAAAAAGTGATCGGAAATGGTTGTGGTATTTGTAAGCATATCAGTGACAGCGAGAAAAAATAATCTTGATCCGAACAGCTGTTCGTTATTTATTTCATAGATCATTATGTGATAAACATTGGACGAAAACTTGACAAAAATCGCACAAAACTGCATTTTTTAACGTCCGTAATGTTATTTACTAAGTAGTAAGGCCATATTTTAATGGCTAAAGACACTCTCGCCAATCCAGTGAATACATTAAAATGACTTGGATCTTGATAGGTACTCTCGTTTTCCTGGAGAAGATTGCGTAAAATGCCATCTTGAGTGTTACAAAAAGATATACAGACAGACAGACAGAAATTTAGGTGAGACTTGTTTCGGCTTCTTTAATGTATAAAACGTAAAAATAACCTACAAATGAATGATTCTGAGCAATGTACAGACAAAACTCTAATTTCATTTATATAGATTCTCATTGGTTGCAATTTAATAAATGGTGTAGCAAAACACAAACACAAAATTTATTGAAATGAAATTAAGTCAATGTTAAGTGAATCATATTTGCGACATAAATACATTTAATTGAAGCCTAAAAACAGTTTGAAAAAGGCATTCTATTCTTTATACTAGTAAAAATTAAAATGAGGGTATAAAAAATAGTTTTCAAAGTTCATGTTGATCAATGTACAATCATCTAGTCTTGAAAAAATAAGTATTTAAAAGCTTGCTCCAAACATAATGAAGTTGATCGGCTGTTAACAAAATGTCATCATTTTTCAAACCATGTAGGCCTAAACCTTATAGTTTTCCAACTGTTGCCTTTTTTATTTTTTATTTTTATGTTTTTTTTTACTTTATGATGTTTCAATTAATGGTACAAATATTCATAGTATATATATTTCTGAACAAGAACATATAACCATGTATATATAACTAATAAACGTTCCATAAGCATTTTACACGAGAGAACACTATTCGGCAAGTCATCATGGAGGAGCTTGGACGTCGTGCAACAGCGCTGAGCTATATTGGACGTCGTGCAACAGTCAAATATTTATTGGACGTCGTGGCACTTGGACGTCGTGCAACTGGCAGCGACTTTGGACGTCGTGCAACACTCCCGCAAATGTTACTTTTTACAATTCTATAGTGCGCTGTTTCACGACGTCCAAGTGCCACGACGTCCAAAGCTTGTAGAAAGACTATATTTTTGGCAGTTACTGTACTTTTGGACGTCGTGGCACTTGGACGTCGTGCAACAACTCAAAAATTATGTTTTGGACGTCGTGGCACTGAATAAATATTATTGGACGTCGTGGCACTTGGACGTCGTGCAATGCATCCGTTTCGGAGGAGTAATTGTCACAAAAAACCTGCTTGCGTATTAAATAAGTAAATAAATTAATTAATAAATTAAATAAGTAGATAATTTAACTACATCTGCATTTATGTTGATAGGTTGAATGAACTTATTAAACTTTTTCAGGTAAAGTTTCTCCTCAAAAACGTCTACGAGTTGTAAGGTTTGTGCAGTCAATACCAAGGAGTCCAAGTGGAAAGATCCTCAGAAGAATGTTGAAACAGTCATTAACTTCTAAGCTGTAAATATGTAATAAAGAAGACTATTGAACACAGTTATTAGTGATGTGCAAGCAGCCCGATTTTTGAGCCGAGTCAGTCCAACCTAAAAGCTTAAGTAATCAAGCATCAAGTCAGAAAATAGAGCTTGAGCTGAGGTTTGACTATCGCGGTGTTCTTCATAAGGATAACATGGGAACTTTAGAGCCCAAGGGACTTTTTCAAAAATGTAAGTAAGGAAAAGGAAAGTTTGCAAATCTACATATCTAGATGAACATTTTGGTATATAATATGTGGGGTTAAATCTTAAAACAAAAAAGCCTTATTGTTTGCCAAGTTTCATGTAGCGTGTTAGATATAGATTTTTATTGAAAGAAAAACAATGTATAGTAAAACTAGTAAGCTACACCATTGTACTAATAAAACAATCACATACAGTTAGTAAATATTTTATTATTAGAGTCAAAACTAGTCATGTACAAAGTCTGTTATCTATATATACAAATTATTTTAAATATAATCAAACTACTTAAAAAAAAAATTCTAACTAGTAAACAGTGCAATACAAAAGACATTTTATTGTTACACAGGACTTCCTGCAGCAAAATATTAATGGATTATATTATTCATTTTTACAAGTTTTTGAAAATCATATTGCTGCAAGAGAATCAAATAAGGATTCCAAACTATGAAACACAAAACTATAAGTAAAATTAAACATTACTTGATCAAATAAATTATAATGTCACAGTACAAAATTAAGAATGCAAAATAAATCCATCGGTAACAAAAAATACCTGAAAGACTATTACAAATAATGCATTTTCATGTTCACATCAAATGTGCTTAAAAAATTTATTGTTACAAGATTCATTGAAACAAACCCCAGAGAATCTATTAGTGTTTTAATGGAAAACCGCTGAAAATCATAACAAGTTCTGAAGGTAACACTGGTAATAATTCAGGTAGCATATAACATAGTTTTGAATAATGCAATCATATCATAATCAGGTATTTTTTGGACACAACGTGTATTACTTTGCAGTTTCTTCATATAAATGCTTGTTTTGTAGCTAAAACATCAGCAAAGGGCTGCACAATTTCACGAGTTGCAAAGTAAAATATCAACCCAAATGTAATTGAAATGGGAAGAGCAGGCAACGCTTTCTTGAAAATGGCCAGAAGTAGAAGTGTAAGACACAAGCCCTGGAACAATAAATTATTTTGGTATTTTAAAAGCATTACAATTTCGGAAATGAACTCGGTGATCACTAAGAGGAGGAACTTCATAATCCTCTTGAGGTTTTTAAGTGAATATATCTGTTGGATATCCATTTTCGTTTAGTATATTTTGTTTGAATGCATATGTTCTATTGCCCTGAGCTTTGGTAGCCTCTTTCACAATTTATCTTTCAATCCATGTCCAACCGATAAGAAAGGAATTTCCCGACTTTTGTACTTTTCCATCATCCGATGTTTGGCCGCAGCAGAGTCTGCTACTACTCTTCTGGACAATAAATCACTTTTTCGTGCAGCAATACGCCCACCGCTGCACTGTTCTATAACTTTCTATATTTAATTTCAAATCAAATTCAACCCTCATAATCACACCATAAAAAGATCGTTTTGTTTTGTTTTTTTATTACAAGAAGTGATTTTTAGTTTCTTTTTGCACAACATAAACTATTTCTAAAGACTTTAAAAGTGTGCAGTGCAATCTCGGACAGGATGACATGATGTTACCAGGTGGGGTACCCCAGCCGTGAACATCTTTCATCATCTACAAGGTCAGTGGAAATCTATCATATTTGGAGTATAATAGAAGCTGAACTTAATCATTACAGAATTGAACTATTAAACCTAATTTAATAAAAATGATCTTTTGAAAATGAGCTAATTATTTCTGGGTAGGCCTAAGAACTCATTGCTCAAGTTTTATTCTAACAATATCTGTAAAATAAAAAAAGTAGTTTATTAAAAAAGCTTTGCAATGAAAGAGTCTTCACTTATTCAAACGTTTACACCAGCTTCGCATACCACAAATAGGCTTACATAACATTTCAAGGTACAAGTACCATACTGAGCCGGTCTGGCAACCCTACTATTTAAGCACTGTTTCAAATAGAATCTAGAATCTTTGTAAACAATTACTTACAATCAAGATGGCAACAAAACAAGCAAGAGTAGTGTTCCAATCGCCATAGGATGATGCTTTACCCACAAGAACACTGTAGAAAATGAAGTCTCCCAAACCAAGTTTGACACCACCTAAAAGTAATTTTTAGATTTGTTAGATATTTATTATACCATTAGCCCCAGTGTAGCTTTAAGGTGGCCTGAATATAAGAAGATTGGGCATTGTGAATAATTATCATGAGAACACATTTAAATCCTAATTAACTTCTGCTGTGTTGATTGAGTGGTTATAGTGCTCGCCTAGCGATCAAAAGGTTGCCCTTTCGATCCTGAGAAAAGTGTGTAGCATTTTGATAGTTCGAAACTGGACACAGCTGTCCTTGATCATTGGTCTTTTGAAATAGTCCTCCTGGCTAATGGAACAGCTAGTCTTAGTCAGTAACAAAGCTACACAGATCATCTCACTCCATTTTACACTCAACTTTCACTCATATATTTGGGTTAAAATATATGACGCCCCCATCTCAATCAATAATGGAAATAGTAATATGTGTATTTTTTTGCTATAAGGTGGTCGCTGGATTAAAGGTAGGCCTATACCAGGCTTCACATTTACTAACTTTGAGGCCACTATTCCTTTTGGGCCTTAAGACCCATTAATGCATAGGTTCTATTAATGTTCAACAACTGAAAACTACGAGCCTCGTCATTTTATACATATTTCTATCCCCACTCCCTCACAATTGACAGTTCTGCTGACAATACCACAGCAAAAAGCTCAGGTTAACAGTAAGAAGTGTCAGCTTTTGTTGAGAAATTAACAAAAAAGTTCAAAGTTTTAAACAATTTTCTCTTAAAAGAAAGCTGGGCTCATAGAACGACCTCTAATCTCAAATTAAGCTATGTGTATTCTTATTTCTTATCTCAAAGAAGACAAATAACCGCTTAAAAACTTCATCTTTACATCTATACAGTTGTAAATGAGTGTACTTACGCTCTTCATCATCAGCATCCATGACAGCTTGCTGTGCCGGAGGCTCTGCTACAGTTCGCCCTCTTCCTACTTGCTGAGCTCTGTGTGCCGCTCGCTCTTCATGTGTTTCTGCCCACTCCTGTGTAAACCCACCTTCTGGGTCACCTGTCAAAACAGAAAATGTCAGACAAAGATGCTGACCAACAGTACATGTCTTTTTAACAAATTGCTTGGAATTACAAACTGGTGAATGAAAATTTTCAGGCAAGCCAAACAAGGTTTTATGCCAATTTATTTCTGTTCAAACAATAACTAAAACTTATTCAATACTTTAAATACATGGTATAATAAATATGTAGATTACATAAATTTCTAAATTCCTCCATATATTTCTATATCATGACACTAATTGCTTGATTATTACCAGGACTTGTGGTGGCAGGGCTGCTGGTGTTACTGGCACCATCCTGCCTGCGACTGCTGGTGTCCTGGCTGTTTTCTGCAGTCATCTTGACCAAACTGTACACCACCGTTGCTAAAAAAATGTACATCATTAACAAATCAGATTTTAATAAATAACGGTTTTTGAGTGAGAAATTTAAAAAATCTGAGCATTTATTTAATAAATATTCCTCTCTACAAAATTTAAAATTAACATAGTTTTGACTCCATACTATTACTATTGCAATCCCTTGGTCAAGCCAGCTAAATTGTTTTCACATACAATAAAAACACTTACATGAATAAATGAGGGCAGGAAAGATCTGTTCGTTTCGTTCTTGAGCCGTTTCAACCAGAATCCTTAGAGGACCTTTGGGTGTCAAAACAGCCACCAAATCTGAAATAATTATATGCTATTTACAAACTACCTATAAAATATATATACAAATACAAAAAAGAAACATATATCTAAATTCTGGCTAACTGTGCTCCTATAATAAAGAATTAGTCTCGTCATTATTGGCATATTGTGCTATCCTTATCTTGGAGAGATGTTATCATCTATCGTTTTACCATTAAAAATAACCTATAAAACTAAAAATCTGTTGAATTTTTTTAAAGCGGTTGACATTTTACCTGGATTTTAGCACAAAAAAACATGAAATCAAAAATTGACGGACCATGACGGTTTTGGTTGAACAATTGTTGTTGTTTTGATTACGGGACACAATGATGACTTTGCAATGACAGGAGATGCTCAAAGTGTTGCTGCGATCACAGATATGATGATAAAGTTCTTATTCTATATTACAGAGTGTGTAGTATTTGACACTCATATACTAAGAGAGTTGAAGGGTAAAAACATTGGAGGTGTTAAAAACTTATCCTGATAATTTAAAAATGTTCCACAAACGATGTAACACATTACAGTAAAAACTTATCCTGAAAATTTAAAAATGTCACATAAAGGATGTAACACATTGCAGTAAATAAAAATAAGATGGTGATAGTTAGTAGGCAATTATTAATTCATATGGCAAATAGTGAAATGTTCCATCAAGCTTTTAGATCTCAATACCACTTACCCCAAATGGATATAACACCAAGAACAACCCATGTAGTCCACTCGGGAAGATATTTGATGAACACTAGTGCCATCAATGCTGCAACAAATATGAGGTAGGCTTGTTGCATCCTCAGGGGTCCTTTCCAGTGAATACAAATCATACCCATCGTGGCGAAATTCCACATGATTATGCCTATGGTGAAATAGTCACAGGGAATGTTGAATGCTCTGAGTATTTCCCTGAAAGTTAGTGTAATCTAAGTATGAATAAGAAAACAACAGTTTCTGTAACACTTTCTTGGCATTGATGATGCTAAGTTTGTTAAAGAAAGGAATGCAGAAAGGATTGCATTATCAACCAAAATAAATTTGTATCCATCCACTAAAATACCTGGATTTGTTTATGGTCGTGTTATAAGAACTCGCATGTCAGCTATCATTTATTCAAGAGTGGTAAACGCATAGACAAATAGAACAAAATATATAATGTCAAAGGAAGGTTCCACTATGTGCCACTAGGAGTGCTGTGTAGTTACTGCGCACAACGAAGCAGGCGTCATAGGCTCTTTGCCATATTATGCTACCAGCAGACGCTGCAGCCGTGTAGTGGTGTGCGCCATATCTACACGGCACTCCTAGCGGTGTGCGCCGGAACATATGCTAACCGCTGACGGTCTATATTTATTCTATTTGTCTACAGTAAAAGTTAATAACATTTACATTTAACAAGAGGGATAAACATAAACATACCCTTTGAAGAACTTGTTTGGAATTTCTCTGATACAAATTGATACCGGATGTATACCAAATGTAAAACATAGTCTGTCCCCAAAATATTTTTATGTTTTGGGTTTTACAGTTAACAATTAAAAACAATGCAAATAAAAGGTTATAAACAATAAATATTTTGGGTATTCAAACTCATTAGACAGTTTGACTTCCAGGCAAAAACCATTGCCGGTTGTTAAAATGTTTATACATGTTGTAAACATGGACCAACATACATAGGCCTAACAACTTTTTATTCAATGCCCAATAGCCCTACAATGAAGAATTGTTTCAGTCGCAGTTTTTAGTTAGCCACAGTTTCAGACCTGAAGTGGATGTGCAAAAGTTAACGATCCACTATCAAGATGTCTGTACATGGTTTACCCAAACGGAAAATAAATACACTTACGTTAAGTAGAGATAAGAGAATATGGACAGCAACATCAGAGATGACATGATCAGCCAGCCATGAATGATCTAAAACCATTGATAAAATAACTTAGTAACAGCCTAATGGACCAGAGTGTTGTGGAAACACATTACACCATGAATTAATAAATAGAATCTATATTTTATGCATATATTGAGCAAGTATCTATATTGTAAAAAGTAAAAAGGCAAGCACACTTTTTGTCCGCAGAACTCCTCCGTGGGTTTTCAACTGATTTTTATAGTTTACGGCTCATTTGAAAGATCTAATTGAATAGATGCCATATAAGGTTTGACATTTTAAAAAGTCCCTTGGGCTCTGCCCCACTGGCTTTCAATGTTCCAATGTTTACCTTTTTTGTTTACATAGGTTCAAACTATTTCTTTTAACATCTGGTAATATTTTTATATGTTTATGTTGTAATGAAAACAAATAATATTTGTGTGATAACATGGTTTAAGTTAGTTTTTTTTTATGTTATTTCAATATTGCCTGTTTTTAATACCCACTTCTTTAGTAATGTTTTCTCCGTAAGAAATACTAAATGGTGGATATCTGGTTAAAAAAGCGATTTTGGTAAACATTTCATTCCTGATTTTGTCTTTATTTCTGGAGTTTCAACTGTTTACTTACGGGACACTCTGTGTTGTATATGTAAACACACACACATGAATTTGAAAAGATGGTTTTTTTGCCTCTTGCAAACAAAACAATCAAATCAAAACAAAAAAGTAAACCAGTCCTGGGTTAGGTCTTACCATGAGACTTAAGGTAATACCTTATTTACTAAGAAATTCACACAAAAGATGAGTGCTTTTATATGGTATGTTTGTTTTATATCCCTCCGAAGGTCCCTAGTTTTGGCCTTAATGTTTGCCTATTTTTTGCACATTTGCAAGGTTTTATTAAAACGGATCTGAGAAGCTTAAAAACAATGTTAATTATACTGTTCTATATACCATTTTGTTTGGAAAATCATGGGCTTCAATATTATACATAAAACATAAGGAAAATTTGTTACAAAAAAATTTTTTTGGTAAAACAAAAATTTATTTTGGAAAATTTTCAAAAAAAAAAAAGTTCGCGCTCAATGAAGTTGTATAAATTATAGGCCTATAAATATTTGAAAATAGCCACTTTGTTCTAAATTTTATGAGGATTACAAATATATAATCATATAAGGAAGTAGATCTGCAAATAAATAAGTTATGGGCAAAAAACAGATTTCGGTACATAGCGTTTAGCTAAGAATGCATAGCCTAACCATAGCTAGGAATCTGGCTGATAATTTACATCAATATCACTACCTACTTCTTCAGGATCATCAACCAGCCCTTCAAAATCACTTAAATCTTCTTATAATGCACCACGTATATCACTACTTTTGATTTTTAACTCTAAAACAATGATAAACATAATAAAACACATCAGTCATCGGTCCGAGGTTAACTAACCTGTTTACAAGTATGCACGTCAGCTGTCTGCTACAATTACGATCGGCTCGGAGAACATACAGCGCTTATAGACAGACCTTTAGAAAGCTTAGAATCTAACGAAAAGAACAATACCTAACTCGATCCAGTTCAATCCGATTTTGTCAGTCATAGAGCCTTTGCTGTAAACAGTGTTTGTGTTCCGTATTCAAGCGCTACCTAGATATTTCCAGACGTTTCATATCATACAATAACCTTTGTCCTGTCACGTGATGTCTGGAAACCCCAATCTCGCCCCAGTTCTCTTGCATTCATGCAACTACTAACATGTCCCCGGCACAATTAACTCCCAATTGCTGCTCTCACCTCTTAACCCCAAAGTATATTTAATTATTATTAGTGACACATATTAAAAGTGAACTATTGAACATTTGTGAAGTGAAACACTACTACTGCCGGTCCGGGTCTGTGTACGAGCAATACGCAATAGCTGGCCAGCAGAAGAAACTCGTGTACGTCTACCGGCTTCGTCTTCTCAACACTTCAGTTAAAAGGAAGGTACCTCATCAATCTCATTATTGTCTGTTAAATAATTAGTGACAATTTTTTAATATTGCTCTTTCACTATACAGTCCATTTGAACATTTTTAGGCAAGTTTACCCCCCAGTTTTTGAGTCGAAAAATCGACACAAAACACTACACAAAGTGTGTTATGTGTCGATTTTTCGACACATAACACTCGGAGGGTTAACCAACAATGGAATGATGATCTTGTGCTACATACCTCATAACAACGATACTTGTATAGAAGAATAAGAACCACAGTCATAATGACAATGACTACCATCAAAATCAGGGCATTAGCTACAGCATTCCAAATTTTCGTTCCTGTTTCTTTGGATTCTTCATGAAATGGAGTATATACTCTGAAAATTAGTGGTAAATTAGTATTTCCTATCATTATCTAATTCATAAATTTAAGGTACTAGGGGTCCCGTACAGCGCTATGCGCCACAATAATTTTTTATAATAAATCATGCATCCTACAAAGCAATACTTTTACTACCCCCGCCACACCAAACCTGCAGACTGCGGGAATTTTCATTTGGGTGATTTGATTTTCACTCAAATATCTCCTTAAAAATGTCATATTTACTCCCTATTTAAATAGGTAACATTAGTTTAACCAAAACTTTCGTTTGCTGCTACAGGGAAGGTAATAAAGTTTTGCAGCAAACCTCCAGACTAAGCAAATTTCCATACAGCCTAATTAGAATTTTCAATTTAATCTATTTGAATAGAATTAGGCTAAACAAGTAGGCTACCTAGGTTTCCTGCTACAGGGTGGGTTTATAAAGTATTTTTTAGTAAAAGATAAATAGCTTTGAATAAATAAACAAGTTTTTAAGCATAGGCTAAACAAGCAAACTACAACAGCTTACTTATCCTCCGGAACAGGAATTTTATTTTTCTCTGTAACCCACAACCGTAAAATTGTAAAAATACTGCAATATATACTAATTTATTTGCTTATTTTAAGGTCTTTAAAATATTTTAAAGAGAAATTGGAAATTTTTATTTTTTGAGGTGGTCAATAGTAAGAAGTCTATTTTTACCCCATAACACCATAGATCCCATGGTCCGATCAAGCTGGTTTGTGAACTCATTCAAGTTTATCTAGCCTTACATCTTCTAACCAAATTGCATTAAAATCGGACAAATTTATTTAAGGTTTTGCGTTCAAGGATTTACCTAATTAGCCTACAGGGTTCATTCAATAACTGGTTCACTGTAGCCTCAAGAGAGCAGTGGATGGGGGTCCAATGCGTTGGGTTCGATAGAGGGGTCCTTCACGATTCAGGAGCACTTCGGTTTGTGAACCGGAAACAAAATGTTTGAGTTGAGGGCAAGGGTCTCCAACACGGATTTTCCGAGTTTTTGCAAAACTTCACACAATGTTGCTCGACAGTATGCTCCATGTTGGCATGACGACACAATGAAAAAATACTCGGCACAAATATCGATCTCTTGTCTCAACGAATGCCCATAGGCGACTAAACCAAAGTGCTCCTGAATCGTGAAGGACCCCTCTATCGAATCCAACCGATTGAACCCCCCCTCCACTGCTCTTTTGAGGCTACAGTGAGCCAGTCCCGATACTTATTGAATGGAACCTGTACACATGATAATATTTAGTATAGACCTAACTTATATAGCCGCATACATATATACAAATTTTAACGAATAGTGTTTTTGGCCTATAAGAACATCCCGGCTCTAGGTCTTACTGTACCTACAGTAATAACTTAGCTAATATAATGGTTTAATTACCTTCAGTCTCCAGTTCAAAGTAAGTCGATTGCGACCTAGGTTTCAGCACGACGTTGTGCTATCATCAGGCTTCCAGTCGAGAATGTTCAGTCTCGACTGGAAGCCTGATGATAGCACAACGTCGTGCTGAAACCTAGGTCGCAATCGACTTACTTTGAACTGGAGACTGAAGGTAATTAAACCATTATATTAGTTATAAACCAGTTCAGGGGCAATTCCACATCTTATGATGTCAAAACTAATAACTTAGCTACTTCTCTATAGGGAAATTCGCCTAAATTAGGGATGTCAGAAAATATGATTTGTGTTGATTTGACATGGAATGGCCCGTTTTGTTAGTTATAAATAAATAATAAATTGTATATACTCCATTCAGCAGTTAACTTAATAGAAGGGCCTCTTAGCATGCTAAAACAATAACGTAACTTACTTACAAATAAACATCCTTAGTTTTGTAGAAGCCTACAGTATTCATGGTGGCAACCACCACCAGCATGCAAAGTGATACCGGGACAAAGAGCTTGATGACATGGGCTGCTCCATATTTAAGCTCTTCCTCTTCATCCCAATCTTGTGGCTCAATTTCATTTTGTATTTGGTTAGGGTTGGGTTCTGGAGGTCCCTGCCCATCACCTCCTGCCCTCTAGAAAACATTTAATTGGTAAACTACAGTAAGGTCCACGAGAGTCTGCAGTTGAGGGAGGAGCCTATTTACCACATGACTTTGAAAAGAAGCTAATGAGGACAGTGCGGTGTTGCCAAATCTAATAATACCAGCGGATTTGAAAATATATTTTAATTTGTGTTGAAAAGTGGTGAAGGGGTGATGTTGCAACGTCGCACTAGTCCATTCTTGGTATTGGCTGCCGCCAACTGCAGACTCTCGTGGCCCCGTGTATAATAAGCTTATTACGAGTCAATCAGGCAATTGTAAGGTTTGCACAACGACTCATTGGTTTCCGGTTTAGGCTAATACAAAATCAAATCAAATATCATTTATTCCATGAAAAATAAATGGTTACAGAAATTACAATAATTCTTAAAAATAATGGAGGATCCCCACATAGGCAAAGCCTGTGCATGAGGAACGAGTACATCAGTCCATCCATATTCTATAGTCTAAATATTGTTAAGTTATATAGACAAGTTGCATTTACAAAAAGAGGAGAAAAATCATTTTACCAGGAAGCCACAGCAGATAACGTTAACACTTAACTAGTAAATGTAAATAAAATTAAAAATCAAATTAAGAAAGTATTTAATAATGATGTCAAAAATCACTGGGACTTGGACTACAAAAAAGGTATCAGTTTTTCTAAGCGTTGCTCTACTGTTACTAAAATTATGAACTACAGTTCTACAGAGAACCTTAGATACATTACCTGATTAAGTTAGGCCTAAATTAAACATCAGTTCGACATAATTATTAGTTTAAATAAACTTTTTTCAATCAATAAGTAGGTACCTAATATTGAATGTTAGTTAGATATTGATTTTCTACTATGGGGCTTTTCAAGTAGAGTATTTTCCATATAGATTGTTTTCCCGCCAGCCACTCTTTTATAAGACGTGAACACCGCACAACAGTAATGGCGACTGTCACCAACGAAACAGCTATATTACGCAGTGTCAACAACACCCGTGTATTTAAAGTTGTGCGTCTTTATTCCTGGCTACAGATCAATAGGGTATAAATTGCATCAGGCCAACACAATCCTTTATTGATTTATTACTCATTGCCTAAATGACGGTTTTCGTAATTTCAAATGTCAGCTGATTTATAAATATTATTTGCCAAATTATCCGACAATATAATTACATGGTTTTTGTTACAAAAATAAACTCCAGAACAAAATCTTACTATTGGCAAACCGGTTACATGCAAGATTAACTTATCAGTGCTATGATTTGCAGAACATGAGTTATTGAATTGACGTGTCACACCAAAAACCGCCTCGTGATTAAATTTGCATTTAAATTGTAATGACAATGAAATTGATCTGTTAACTTAATGCTATAGGCTAAGGTTTGTTTATATATGAAAATGAAAGTTTGAAATCTCATCTTTCGAATTGTACCTATCAATACTATTATTCGATTTTGGAATCATTTTAAATGAGCTATAAGCTGTTTCACGAATGCAACAATCAAGAGAAACATCTCGATTGTACCTAAGTTACAAACCTCTCACTAAGAAATCGAAACAATCGATAAGCGGAACATCTCGAGAAGGAACATTTCGATTGTTCAAACATCTTGCAATCTCGCATCACTACAGTGTAGGCTATATGAAGGTTTGATTAAATTACAACCAACGCCTAATCGCATCGCATCGGAGGATTAGTGATACAGGTGTGTTGCTAGCCTTGTGGTAAGCATCATCTCTGACTTCAGTGCGGGAGGGACGGATTCAATTCCCGGCAGATCCACAAAACTGAATTTTAACTTAGATGGGTTTTAACTACTTTCCCTGGTTGAAAAATTTTTTGAACCTCCAAACTCACCGATCTGTTCGAGGATCCTGAGGCACCCTGATTTGTTTTACGTTTTCTTCCCGTTTTGTCTCCAATATTATCTGGTCTAACCTGAACTACATGTCCGTCCATGATTAAAGCTGTACTTTCATTAGCTGAATCAAAATCACTATCTGACATTCAAAAAGAATAACTAGGTAAACAAAGATCAGTTTGTTGCTGTTTCGTTTCACATTTTATGAATCATAATCATAATTTTCAATAATCGTAAGAACCATTACCTAACCTATTCATAAGAAGTAAAAAGAAGAAAGAAGAAAGAACAGACAGGGAGACAGAGTGAAGAGTGACAGAGAACTGAACTGAACACTAACACCAGCTCCGGCAGGGTGTCATACCTTATAATTGCATGGCTTATAATTGCGAATTTGTTCCATAACTTATAATCGTGGAAATGTGGCATAGCTTGTAAGGGGAATTAATTTTTTTTCGATAAGGTATGAGACGGTCTCCAGAAGGTAGAAACACCAGAGGCCAGATACCACAGATAGTAACAGAATACGGTAAATTCCAATGATACATTGTATTACTGAATTGTACGTTGTTTATTCTTAGTGAGGAGGGGTAAATGGTAGTGGTTATAGTGCAATGCTACTGAAAAAGTACTGTAGTAGAAAAGTATTTATTCAGCGTGGGGTCCCAGGATATCGACATAATTTATAAATTAATATAATCAACACTGAAATAGTCGCATGTTATCGACAAGTCAAAATATTGACAGTGTCAAAAAGGTGGGAATACTTTAGTATCGACATAAAACATACTCCTTTAGTTACTTGTATTTATTTACTTTTGTATTTATTTACATTAGTTACTAGCATTTACTAGTACTTGTGTTGGTTAGTCTATGGTATCGATCAGTTTCAACGGTTGTCGATCATATTTTTTTTTTTTTTTTTTTTAAGGGAGAGGAGGGAAAATGCTTTTACGCACACAGGTAGCCAGCCTGTAGTGTGAGACTCCTGAATCTCGCAGACTACTCACTAAAAAACCCCCTCTACTCTGTTGGACACAGACCTGGAATTGTTTGTCACATTACTTCAAGTCAGGCCAACATGTTACCTAAGCCCTCAGGGCTCTCACCGTTTATGGCATTTGGATACTTTATGACCTACACCGCATCCCGGTCAAGGTCGAGCTTCTTCTTGGCGCGGAGAATACCCTGGATGTAATGTGACACACAGGTCCAATTGTCCTCACCCTCCGTCATCATCGGTATGACCGTGTCCACCGACAGCAGTCCTACTAACTGTTGAGCCTCCAGGCGGGGCCTTTCCCAACGCTGGCAGTGGAAGAAGGTATGTTCCACGTCATCGGGAATGCCTGGGCAGTATATGCAATCGGGTGACACGGCTTTGCCCATCCTGAACAGGTACGACCGGAAAAAGCCGTGACCCGTCAGAAATTGGGTGAGGTAGAAGTCCACCTCTCCGCACCGCCGATTAACCCAAGGTCGGACTTGCTTTATCAGTCGCCTGGTCCAGCGTCCCCGAGTCTCCTGTTCCCAGCTCTCCTGCCACAGCTGGTAGGTGCGGGTGCGTTGCTCTGTTCGTGCCTGGTCCTCCCCACGGCGCTGATAAATTGCTTTTCTCTCCGCCGCCAAAAGTTTGACGGGGATGACTCCAGCAACCACCAGGACGGCGGGTTCGGACACTGTTCGGTAGGCGGATGCAACTCTTAGTGCTGCCTGACGCTGCACTCGGGCAAGCCGCATCCTATATACCTCCTTATATAGAGCGTCTGCCCACACCTCAGCACCGTACAAGAGCACAGACTGGACAGAAGACATTAACAGCCTTCTACGGCTGGACCGAGGCCCTCCGACATTGGCCATCAACCGGCTAAGAGAGGAGACCACCCTAGCGGCTTTGTCCGCCGTACGGAAAATCTGATCCCGCCAGCTAAGCTTGCTGTCCACCATAATCCCAAGGTACTTGGCAGAACGAACGGTCTGGACTTCAACGGCCCCTACCCTCAACGGCACGATGGTGTCAATCCGTTTTTTTGTTAATATCACGATCTCAGTTTTGCTCAAAGCAAGCGAGAGACCGTGGTCTGTCATCCATGCGTTTATAGTACGCATAACTCGGTTCAGCTTTAGCTGAGCCAGCTCAACGCTACGTGCAGCTATCAAAACTGCAACGTCGTCCGCGTACCCAACCAAAACAGTTTCCTCAGGCATTTCAGACCTCAGGAGGCTGTCATACGCGACATTCCAGAGGTCCGGGCCGAGTATGGAACCTTGGGCAGCACCGGAAGTGACACTCATCGTCCGTGGGCCCTCTGTAGTGTCATACAAGAGGAGGCGGAACCGGAGATAATCCTCTATGATACGCATGAGGTATGCCGGGACGTGGAAGGTGTTCTCCAAAGCATCCAGCATATCGCACCACCTCGCCGAATTAAATGCGTTTCGCACATCGAGAGTGACGAGCAGCACAACCCTTCGAGAGTAGTGGTTAAAATCCTCAGCTCTCATCACGGCTTGCTTCACCTCTTCAACAGCGTCAACCGTAGATCGCCCCATCCTGAATCCATACTGCCGAGGGGACAGGTCCCCCGCAGCGACCACGGCTGAATTCAGTCGGGAACGTATCAACTTCTCGAGGACTTTTCCAGCCGTATCCAACATACACAGAGGTCTGTAAGAGGATGGCAGGTCTGGGTCTCCCTTTCCCTTCCCAACAAGCACAAGCCTAGCTGTTTTCCAGCACGAAGGGAAAACTCCTTCGACTAGGCAGGCATTGTACATGCGCAAAAGGATCAAGGGGTTAATAGTCAAAACCTTTTTGAGAACTTCGCCGGGTACCCCATCGGGTCCAGGAGCCTTATTGTTCTTCAGGGATAGGACGGCCGCCTCCACCTCTCCAAGACTAAAAAGTGGTACGTCATCCACCCTTCCGAAATCCCGCAGTGGGCGCAACGTGTGAGCCGGGAAAAGGGACTCGACTATCCTCTCCATAGTGGCCCCATCCATGACGGAAGGTGGAGAGCGGGTGCCAAGTTTCTTGGTTACCAGTTTGTAACCCAAGCCCCACGGATTGGAATCGATATCGTCCCTTAATGTCTCCCAGCAACTACGTTTACTCGGTTGTCGATCATATGGAACCTCCCGATATAGTAAGGACTCTAGAGGTTTCGCTGGCAGCTGGCGATATTTACCAACAGCTCCAGCTGAGCGACTCGACTAGCGTAGCGGCTGCTAGAAAACAGCCGATAGCCGTGTGCCGTGTGACGTTTCGACGTTTGTCATTGTCACTTCACTTTCACTTTGTTTTGTCTTTGTCAGTTTTGTGACCCGGCTTTACGGTTCGTTTGATTTGATTCACAAATCACATAAAAATATTATTTGATTTTTTATTGTTTTCGTTGGTTACTTGGTTAGATAGACGGGAAAGTTATTTTATAACCAAACTTGGTTGAACATGAACAATACGACAAGAAGTCAAGTGTGAGAACTAAAAAAGAGTTTCAGTGCGAACGAATATAAAAGAATAAAATATTGTTAGTAGTTATTGCTTGATAAATGCTAGTGCTATAAGCTACACTTGTCTGTGGTGCGACATAGTTTGAGTAGGCCTAACTTACTGTTCATTATTTTTTTTATAAATTCATAGCCTAGGGCTTACGTTTTTTACTAAGTTAGTGTCAGATTGATACAAAGTTGGGTAATACCATTGACTATAACAGGTTGATCCAGTCGGAAGAAAGGGGTAGCGGATTTTTATCCCCCTGGGCAAACGTGACGTCACAAACCAGGGGGTAAAATTCCGGCCGCGAACTTTTGGGTTTCGCGACATCAGCTCGATGGATGAAATGCGGAATTAAACATATATTTTCATGGTTGTGAATTTAATAAGAACACATCAAATTATAAAAACCTAGAATGTACGGCCCAGATTTTTACCCCCGGAATTTTACCCCCTGGCCAGATATAGCCTATAAATTAGTGAGGATGATTAATTATCTTCATTCAGTTTTAATTTAATAGTAAACATTTTATTATTAAGTAGCCTAAGTTATCTTAATTTATTTGTAACATTAACTTATTGAACAGCTTTTTGATTTTAATTTTGAGATTCGAGTATCAGGATTCGATCTTTGAAGCCAACTGTTGGTTAATATGATCAAAATAAAACAGCGAATTCTGTTTACTTAGTTGAGATTACAAAATAAATAAAGATAGGCTACTAAATAATGAAATGTGTTTACAATTAACTAAAAACAGAAATAAGAAAATCAATCATTCAATTTCTAAAATCGGCCAGGGGGTAAAATTCCAGGGGGTAAAAATCCGGGGGTAAAATTCCGGGGGTAAAAATCCGGCCCGTACATCTTTAGTTGTCTAAACGCTAGTTACCGTATATGGACAGGGGGTAAAATTCCGGTTTTCATCGCTAATCTAATTAACCACGCTCTGACTATTTTCATTAGACTTCCAAATCCGCGGGGGTAAAATTCCGGCCGCAAACAAACTTTTGGCCGCTCAGGTTACTACGTCATAGTGACGTCAGCTTTGCCCAGGGGGTAAAATTCCAGGGGGATAAAATTCCGGCGACCCGGAAGAAATCGCGTAGCTTGAGTGGTACTGATAAGTGAACTGTTAGACGGATAAAAGCCATTAAGGGGGAAGTCCAGTGGATGGGAAACCCTGACCTAGAGGCACTGCTTTCACTTTTCATTGTACTTCTTAATACAGCAGGTTTTCCTGATTACACTTAGCACATTGTCAGACGGCCAAAAGGAAAGAGTAAGATTATTTCTTACGTAATAATGGTATTTTTCATTTTTAAACTTTGAAACGCGATTTCTTCCGACTGGATCAACCTTTTGAAGTCCGGTTTGCGGCATTGTTTTCAGTTGAAGTAGACCTTTAAAATGATGTACAACTCAACATAGGCTGTCATTAAAGATTTTCTTCTGACCCCCGACGGGCCGTCCCTCAAAGGTGATATCCGACCACCATGTACACAGAAAAGTAGCTTACAATTTCCAGTAACGGTATACCAAATGTGCTTGTGATATCGTTTGTCGTTTAAAAGTTATAAAGTCGTCCTAAGACTTAATGGTCACCCTGTATGTGTGTTGCGATAACTCGAGCAAAAATGATCCGATTAGGATGAAATTTGGTACAAACGTGTAAACCTACGTTTATTCGAACGAGTTCGCGAACCAGCATAATCGGACCATGGGAACGGGGGTTTTATGGGGTAAAAATTGGGGTTTCCCACTTTTGACCCTCAAAACAAAAAATTTGCAATTTCTTTTTAAACTGTTTTGTAGAGCTTAAAGAAATAAATAATTTATTATATTGAAGCGCTGTTGTATGCCTAACGCTCACGGAGAAAATTCAAAAATAATATAATTTAAAATTCCCATGTTATTCTTATGGAGAAATTGAAAAATGTTGTAGCCTAGTTTACTTGTTTATGGATATATAGTGATAACATTTGGCAAATTTAGCAGCCCGTAGCAGCAAACCTAAGCACTCGTTACTAATGTTATTTAAGTTGGGAATAGATATGTCTTATGGAAATATTTTAGTAACAATGTAATCAGACAAGTTGAAATTCGCTTAGTCTGCAGGTTTGCTGCGGCGGGGGTATTTAGGCTATGTAACTTAATTATATTTTCCATGTAATAAATATTAAAAACGCTATCATTGAAAAATCTACAGTGTGATAGGTCATATACTTGTATGATGTTTTACAGTGTGGGATACTAGTTGCGGGTGTTAGTCAGTTAGGTTTGAACCAATTTACCATATTAAGGGAAATTTTTATGTGAGTTGTGTTTCAATAAAATGGGAGATGGTTGTCAAACTGACTAGAGATGTCGCCTAGACTTCCAACCTCAACAGAAAACCATGGCAGTGTTAAATACGCTGACAACAAAGCTTTAATTTTAATTTCTGTCTTGATGGTAACTAAAGAGCTCCTGTAGCAGTTAAACACCTTTCAAAAATGTGTACGGTCTTCTGCTAACTAGGCTACATAGGCCTAAGCCACTTGGTTACATTTGTACATTTTTTGCGTATTTCACTTTATTTCTCGAGAGAACAGTAAAATCAATAGGTTTTTGTTGATAATTAATTCAAAGTTATGTAATACTTACCATGGCCTAATAAAAATATATTATTTTTAGATTTGGACTTTTTCAGTTTTTCAAGAATAGCATAGAAGAAGGTGAATAGGTGATGGCTCAAAGTGCACATCTTCTGTTGCGTCTGGTGGCTTCTTCTGTAACTGCAGCTAACTCTGCGGGAAAGATAGTTAGAGATGTAATGAAAAAAGGAGATTTAGGAATTGTTGATAAAGTGAGTTTACTTTAATTATTATGTATCTTTTGAACAAGTTGCTGTTTTTTTTTTCATGTTTGGATAAGAAAACTCTAAAAACAAGGTCAAAACTGAATTAATATAACAAATAGTGGTAGGTCTAAACCGCAGTTGCTAAAAAACACATGTTTTTTAGTGTTGCGTGTGCGTGATGTATTTAGGACGCTAAATGGTAGCAAGACCAATGTTTGGACCCTCCCCTTATAAAAATGCCAAAATACACCAAATTAAATGTGTAAAAACATAGTTTATTGGCATTATATACAGTATGTTGATAATCAGTGGAAAAATTATAAACTGTAATATAAATCAAATTTTGAATGCCCACTTGGTTAAAACATCCGTCATAATTCAATCAGACCACAAAAAATAAATATATTCCGGGTACTAGGGAACATTACAAAAATTGTCCTACTATAAAAACCTTGCAGACTGAGCAAATTTCCATTTGCCAAAACTGTTTTTTACTTAGATATTTCCCCAAACTAGTCACATGTATTATCTAATTTAGTAATATCAGGTTCAAGAAGTACTCAGGGTTGCAGCTACAAGGAATGCTATAAACTTAAAGTGTTTTTTAAGGGTTTCCAAATGCTAGTTGCTTATCTTTCGAAATAAATTAAGTTGACAAATTTGATCAAAATATACACATGGGTATCCATCTAGCTTTTCCGTATGGGGGTTATAGGATAATCCCCAGTAAACCACATCCTCTCCCAGTAAATGTTTAAAATTTAGTTACAAAGTAGTTGATTTTACACATGTTTGTACCAAAATTTGCTTTGTAAATTTAAATTGTTTGTTTTTGCATTGTTTTTAAAATATAAAAAAATAATTGAAAACTGCTGTGGTTACTGATACCCCAAGGGTTGTGTTGGGATTCCCCAGTTCACAATGGGTCAATTAGTCTCTATCTCTAGCCTCTTACTTCCTTCTTGTCAGTCTCCTTAGGTTCTTTCCCATTTGTCCCACCATCTCCGCTTTGGTCTTCTGCCTTCTGGTTAACTTCAAACACTAGTCTAGGAGGGCTATCCAGAAAGTTAAGAACGTTTCGTTCTGACCCCGCTAGGCGTGCGCCAATCTCGTACATTTTGGCACAAAACCCGCCGAGGCTTTCACTTTGTTTTCCTCAAGTTTCGTGGACTTGTTGTTTGAAATTGTCACACAACAAAGCGAAAGCTGTGTTATCGTTAAGCAGCGGTTTTTGCTAATTTTTTCATAAACTTTAGCCACCAGTTCCATCAGTCATAATGCTCAGGCGTCCTCCGTTCGATTCGCCATGACTCATTAGCGTCAGTTCGGCCATTTTTAAACTGAATGCACCATTTTCCACAGAACTTTCATTCATTACGTTGTTACCTTAAACATCACACACTTGGCGATAAATGTCTATCGGTTTTAAGCTTTTTGCCAACAAAAACCGTATCAATGACCGCACCTGACAACTGGCGGGATTTTCAATCCCAGCGCGCGTCTTAAGTTGAAATTGTGAAAAAACGGGCAGCGCGAGAATGATCCTGTTGTCACGGCTAGATGCCGACCGAGTTTCCGAGTGCATACACACCAAAATGTATGAGATCCGCACGCGCCTAGTAGCGTCAGAACGAAACGTTCCTTACTTTCTGGATAGCCCTCGTAAGACAAAAAGTCTACTTGTAATTTTCAAGATCAATGATTAATACCTCATTTTCAGGGTAAGAATGATCTTCAGACAGAGGCGGACAGGTCGGCCCAGCAGTGTATCGTGGGGTCACTGTCACGACTGTTTCCCTCAGTCAACATCATCGGTGAGGAAGGAGCTCCTACGTGTCCGTGCCCGGAGGAGTGGCTAGTGACTGCCAGTGACCCGGAGGTCCTTGCGCTAGCCTGTCCTGATCAGTACCATGACCTGGCAGAGTCTGATGTTAGTCATCTCAGTTAACAATTAACATTTTACTTTTTATACATCATCAATGTTACAGAGCTAAAACCAGCTAAAATAAAAACTGCCAAGGAGTTGTAAATGAATTCCTATTCTTTATATTTGAGAGGATATACAGCTTTTCATTAACAAAAGTATAGCTTGTTATCCAACAAATGACAATACAATAGCAGCAATTTTAAAGTTTCAAGAACTATGTTCTAAAAATCACTAAATAATAAAAATTTCCTTAATCTTTTATTTAATTTTTTTTAATACTCTTAGCTATTGGACTTTTTGTTTGGATTTACTACTATATCAAACAGCTTCTATTTTTATTGATTTTAACTTTTTGTTTTTTGTGTTCAGGTCACTGTGTGGGTTGATCCTTTAGATGGCACTTCGGAGTATACACAAGGTGCGTAAGTCTTTAAGGTATCGATAAGGTCAAATTATTGATTAATATTGATTCTTCAACACAATGCCAATACTGTCAGGCTAAGACTAACAATCATAGTAAGTATTCCTAATGTTTTGTCTAGTTTTACTGACTTACTATTGTTAGGGTTATTAATAAAAACACAATGGTTGGATGATATGGAAAATTAAATTGTCTTTAACAGTGATAACACACAAGGCGAGGACATTACAATAACCAACAACTGACTCTGGACATAGAATAGAATAGATCTTTTACTTGAAGAAGAAGTCATATAAGATACATAGACACTTGATTACAGTATAGCCTATGGACTAAGGCGTGTACTATATAACAAGAATATAAATTACTCTCTAACAACTATGATGTCTGAGAAAATGTTTTATCTTGCAAGTAATTATGTAAAAAATTGAGTTGGTTTATTAGGAACATTTATTTGAATGTTACATAGTAAAAACTTGAACTGGACCTCAAACTTTAACTGAAATATAAACATTGTTATCAATTTTTATTTTACAAAAAAGAGGTTGGCGGCCTCTTTTAACCTTGTATTTGCCCATCTACATAGGCTACAGACCTGTGCTTGGAACGTATACAGCAAAGCCGGTACAGTACAAGGGTGAAGTGTAATGATAAAATGTAGTATCAGGTACCAGGACATCCTTAACCACACACCTTTGTTTCTGGTTAGTGGTTGGCTGGACATAGTTGCCAGATTGGTGTATTAATTGTGTTGCACCTTAAGTTACGCATGTTGTTAGTTTTTATTTACCCTTTCTGTGTTTGTGTCTACCAAAACAATTCTTTCATAAGACATTAAAAAAGACTAGGCATAATTAACCCTTTTAGTGCCACAGCTTCGCTCATAGCGACGTGATGTGTTTGTTTATGAATAAATTAAAATTGCTCATTGTCGCTGACGGTTACTCTCAGTATATTATATATTACTCAAACACAAAACAACATACCGGTACTGGCTTTAAAAACACTTTGTTTTGATCCAAAAGCTTCCGGCTATCAGTTTTGTAGCAATTTTGTTGCCTTTGGTCAATTAGCAGACACCATTGTCGCCGTTTTTGTCATAGATGAAATCTGATATCGTATGTTTAATATTTGTTCGCTATTTATTGGTTATACTTATTTTCTAATGTTATTGTGTATTTCAGTTTTTGTTTTTGTTTTTATACTTTGTCAACGGTTATTTATTAGTACTGTAATAACAATGTTTACTGAAAATAAACTAAAACATAATTGAATTCATGTTGAGGATCTAGACATCAATTCTGATCTTCATTTTCTGCTCTTTCTGACTGTTTTGTTGAATAAAAATAATAAAATTGTTCGAATAAGTTCAAGTAAGTCAAAGTAACAAAAACTTCCAAAATATTTTTTTCTAATTTTTTTTCTTGTCCCCAATTTATTTTGAAATTTGTTGATATCTTATACTATTTTATATAAACTACTGCATTTTCCTTTGAAATTTGTTCGGCAATTTATACATAAGAAATAGGTAAGACACTGTGGCACCAAATAATTTATGGAGTTGAAATTGTTGAAGTAATAAGGAACGGTTTTTTAATTTGGATCCTTTGTAAATTCATAATACTTTTATAGGTTTGCTGGACCACGTGACTGTCCTTATCGGAATTGCAGTAAAAGAACGAGCCGTAGCAGGTGTCATCCACCAGCCATTCTATAACTACAAGAATACTGGACAGGGACAGATGGGACGAACTGTCTGGGGTATAGATGGAGTTGGAGTGGGGGGATTCGACCCCAAGAGTCCTCCAGAGGGAAAACGCATCATCACAACCACAAGATCTCACACAACTCCTCAAGTACAAGCAGCTCTCGACGCCCTCAAACCTGACGAGATACTCAGGGTGGGAGGGGCTGGCCACAAGGTGAATACAAGTTGTATTAATGGTCAAAGATACAATACACACTTAAATATCACACCACTACGGTTCAAAAGTTATTGTAACTTATGTTATTTTCCCATCAAAAACCATAAAATAATTCTATACCATAAAAAGAAGAAATCAGATTTAAAAAAAGCCAGTTTTGATTGAAATTGTACTGTTATGGTCCTTATAATTCTAAACAAAATAGTGCAACCACGTGTAAAATTCTTGTAAAAAATAAGGTTCAAAAGTTAATGCAATTTTTGAGATTTTTCCTATTAAAAAAATCATAATTACTCTCATCGCTTACCCTTGATAACGGTTGACAAGCTAATGGGAGAAAGTATGTGTCAGATTGCAGATACTGTTTATTTAACATCGGCCTTATGGGTTGCCAAGTAACCATGTTAGTTGAACAAAAAACAAGAAAAAAGTAAACAAAAGACCTGTAACATGTGTTTATAACAAGCCATCCACAGTATACTAGCAAATAAAAAAATACAGTGCAAAGGGGAAGATAACTCGTAATAGGGGTACAATGGAAATAAACTATACCAAGCCATGGTTCAATCCCCTATTAAGAAATAAATCTGACAATTTTAACGGAATATTTTAGTATAAATCCAGCCAGGTAAATGGAAATTTACTTATCTGCAGCTTTGCTGCAGCAGTCCAAATGCAAAATTTGGTAATGTTTTTGCTTAGCTTTTTACACATAATTGCTTCATAGATAACAGGTGAGGAGGCAATTGATTAAGGCTAGGTATGCTGAGACGAATGAGACGCAACGCACGCAACCCAAGTTTTTCGGCGAAAGCCACGCAGCACACAATTTTTGACTGGCGCATGTTGAGATGCAGCACATGCCTACGTAGTCGCCAAGATCGACAATAGTAGCAACTCCGATGAGGAAATAGATTTTTTACCATATTCAAATGATACCTTTAAAGCACTTTAGTGACATGTTCATAGATAATTGTGAAATAAACTTGCTATATTTAATCAAAATATAGGCCTATCCATAAACAACGTCAAGATTCAAGAATACACACTTTTTAAAATCACATTTAGTTTCTAAAACAATCATAAAATACAGGGTGTTCCATAAAATTAAAATATATTTAAGTCAGGGCTGATTTACCGAATAGGCACAGTAGGCATGTGCCTAGGGTGTGAGGCAGTTGATTTTTTTAAGAAAGTGCCAACAAATTGGAAAATAAAAAAAATTTGATTGTATTTGTATGCAATTGCGGTAAAATTCTGATCATCCCTTGTTGAGATATTATCTTCTCTCGCGGTCACGGAAACGTCACTATTGTAATGCACGATCGCGGTAAATTGAAAGTTCCCGGTATTAATACAAAATTGACGCATAATTCCCGGTTTAAAAATGATTCGATCATAATTCCCAGTCGGTGGACACCCTACTCTGTATATATTGCAAAGGGGCACTACTATTAGTTGTGCTAGAGGACTGGCAGGGTGAAAAACTGGCCTGATTTAAGTTGTCCGTATTTTTTAATATTTCATATTTTCAATTTCCAAAAATAAAAAAACTTAATAATTAAACGGTAGGGTCCCATAAGAAGTTAACTCTTTCTCATAACAATTAGGTTATCCATAGGTTCACTCTATGTATCATTTTGTAGGGCCTTATAAACAAATAACTTATTGTATCTTGAATTTTGTTTTTGTACTTGTCACGAAAAATTTAAAAAATTGTAAATTCAAAATCTTATGCTATTATGGAGAATAAGTAGACTGTTGTAGTTTGCTTGTTTATGGACTCAAACTTGGCAGATTTATTTATTTTATACTAAAATAAATATTTTTTTTAAATTATAAAGCTCCGTTCCGATAGTCCTATCATGCCATTTCGCTACTGCATGGTTTACATCATACAACACAGATACCATTACCATTACCATTACCAACTGGCGATCGTTGACCAGATGTCTGGATTGATCTTGTCAAATAAAATTTACTTTTAAGAATTAATAAACTAATATTTACAGTATTTACACTCCATGGCGGCCGGATTCATACTCAAAAGTCCATTGTAGTAGTAAAGTATTCCTCAATGGAATAAAAACACTTCCTACTCAGCCATTGTTTTAGCTTAACTTTAAAAGGTTCAAGAAGGAGTTCTTTAATGTGAAGGGGCAGTCTATTGTAGAGCTTGTGTGCCAACACCGGAAAGCAGTCCTTGGTCTTTGATAGCCTACACCTCGGGACATCCACATTCCTTGCAGAGCGCAGGTTGTAATTGTGGAATTGGTCTCGTGTAATATGAGGGAGCCTAGGGTCAGTTTTCAAGAGAAGGAGGCAGTCTAGAATGTATTGGCTATGTATCGTGAGAATGCCAAGCTGTTGAAAAAGTGGTCTGGCATGATCTCGTCTACCACTCGAAGATAAAATTCTAACAGCAGTCTTCTGCATAATCAGAGCTCTAGTAGTGTTCGGAGCATGGCCCCATAAGACCAAGCCATAGCTTAAATGGCAATGAAACAAACCAAAGTAGGCTAGTTTAAGATAGTCAGACGTCACCTGGGATTTTAGTTTTCTTAAAAGACAATTAACTCGAGATAATTTTTTGCAAATTTCATCAATATGCTGGTTCCAGGTAAGTTTCTCATCAATGGTAACACCTAACAGTTTGACTGCACTCACACTAGGCCCATCCAACCTGGCTTCAGGGCGGGTCCACAAGCTGCAGAGCAGCTGCTGAGTTTTCCCCTCATTTAACTGCAGTCCGTTTAGCCTAAACCACTCCTTAGCCTCTCCTAGGCAGAAATTCGACCCCGTTGTTAAATTGGCCATGTTACTACCACGATTAATAATGGTAGTGTCATCTGCATATAATAGGGCATCATAGCTCTCTAGGTTGAAATCATTGATTAAGATGATAAAGAGGCTAGGTCCAAGGGTTGAGCCTTGCGGAACTCTGCTCGTAATCGCTGCCACCCCAGATTTTGCACCTTGAATTGATACCACCTGCTGGCGGCCACTGAAGTAGGACGTAAACATCCGTTGAACAGCCCCCCCAGACCCGTACAAGGAGAGTTTCCTTAGAAGCAATTCATGCGATACGCAGTCGAATGCTTTAGATAAGTCCAATAGTGTTAACAGTACGGATTCTTCGGTTTCAAAGGCATTGTGAATAGTCTCAATAAAATAGAGATAATTTGCATTGTAACTCAATCAACGCTTGTTTGTTTGTTGTCGTCTTGCACACGTGTTGTATTGAGTGTGTCTGAAAATCTGTGTCTATGCTACAAACTTGAGACATGCCATGGTTGTCAGTACTGGTGTACACAGCTGGTTGGTTGTCAAGTAGTTAAAAAAAAACTAGAAAGTAACTAAAACAGATGGGACGCTTATTTGGCACAAAAGTTTAAATGTTTTGCTACAAAATTCCACAGGCCCTACATATTTCATTGTTTGAACTAGTACGTGGTTGGTTCAGGTAATGCTTCTGATGGAGGGCAAGGCACATGCCTATGTGTTTGCCAGTCCAGGCTGCAAACGTTGGGACACTTGTGCACCTGAGGCTGTGTTGACTGCAGTCGGGGGAAAACTCACTGATCTCCATGGCCGACTCTACCCCTACGACAAAGACACTCCACCAGTCAACTCTCGAGGGGTGCTGGCCACTGCAAATGCTGATGACCATGAGTGGTACATAAAAAACATTCCTCAAGAGATCCGTCAAACGCTACATTAAACAATTATATTGGATCTGTCTGTAAAGGCAATGGTATTGGGTACTATAAAAATATGGTTTAACTAAAAAAAATTGTTATCTATTGTTGTATTTGTATATTTTAATAAATAAAATCTATTATCTTATCAATTTTGTTGTGCTGACCTCATATATGTGCAAGTATTAGGTTAGGACTGACATTATTATTTTTTGCTACATTAATCCAATTTTCCAACTAAAAAAAAACCAAACAATGTATGGATACGTTCACCATTTACAATAAGGTAACCAAAAGAATTACTTTAAAATTTACTACAGTATTTTATAAAATGTAATTTTTGTATTTAATGTTTTTTTTGTATCTTTATTGGTTAAAGAGCTGTAGGAAAATTAGTGTATTAATGTTTTATTAAATGGTTTTTAAGATACTCACTCCCGCGTGATGTGAGACCTTACATACAGAGGGGTGTGACGGCTGGAACTGAACCTATTAAAGTGTTTGCTGTTGCAAATGTACACATCTAGGTCTCGATTAAAACTAATTAAGTCTAAAAAAATCAAATACTATCCAGATTATTAAACTTGGAAGATTAATAAAGGAAAGAACACAACTGCAAATGTTCTTAGTTATTTTACAATTCCATAGCTCTAATAGTGCTTTGAATGAATAATTTGTTTGAATCAGCATTAATAGCCTTCATACTGCTGGGCTCTTTGACTTCTACAAATGCTTAAAGTGCCTTCCATAATTTAGTTTTAATCGAGACCTAGACGTGTGCATTTGCAACAGCAAACACTTGCGTAACATAAGTAAAAAGTTAGGAAAAGGGTTGAAACCAGAGTTTTTTTAAAGCTCATTTAGCAATTTAAGTGTTATAAAAATTTGAACACTCCACGAAATTCACTTTACCAACAAAGAGGTTGACATGCAGGCCAGGTGCTGGTTGAGATGAGATGCCGTTATGTCACACTTAGTTGGAAGTCGTCCTCTGGAACTAATAACTGTCTCAGTCTGTCACCTGTACTGGAGAGTGTCATATTGTACTAGAAGTCAGCTATTGTAAGTTTATATAATCATTGTAAGCATTTTTTATTCTTTTATCCAAACTTATTTTTTTTATAAAGGAAATTTTTCAGATACAAAAATATATTTAAGGAATATTTTAACATGGTTTTTTTTTTTTTAAATCATATATTTTCAATTTCTGATTCCTACAAAACTCTTGATGATTGTGTTCTCTGGGGGTATACTACCTGTGCTCATTTACATTGTGTGTGATATTACTGTACAGGGCTATATGTAGTATATAAAATATACAGGGTGATCAAGTCAAGGAGGCCACCATTGGGATATCGAAAACGGTAAGAATTAGAGAAAAATTTAAATGTGGCCAAAAAAACCATCCGTTCAAATTCATATATATATATATATATATATATTATATTTGATATTGTTCACGTGTAGGGCTACTGTAATTAATATTAATAAATAATACACCATAGTACCCTTTTAAAATATTTAAAAAAATAATTTAAAAAAATTTTAAAAGGGTACTATGGTGTATTATTTATTAATATACTGTATTTATAAATATATGTGTCCGTTAGCGCGATAACTCGAGCAAAAAAGATCCGATTTTGATTAAATTTGGTACAAACATGTAAACCTACGTTTATTCGAACGAGTTTGCGAACCAGCATGTAAGTAAACTGTTGTAGTTTGCTTGTTTATTAACATATTTTGCAAAAATTTGGAAAATGTTTTTATTTCTTACTAACTATTAACATTTTACATAAAAAACACTTTTACCCTCCCTGTTGCAGCAAACCTAAGTGCGTGTGAAACTGATTCTATTTAAATAGGGAATAAATGTGATATTTTTAAGGAGACATTTTAGTGTAAATCCAATCAGAAAAATGGAAATTCGCTTAGTCTGTAGGTTTGCTGCGGCGGGGGTATTTTAAAATGACCGCCGTTTTTTAAATAATAGAATTAATATTTTTAACGAATTTTATGGTCTTTTGAAATGTGGGTGCAATTTTAAGACTTATTTACTCCTCGCATTTTTGCTATAAACCTACTTGTTTGGGAGCTACATGATGTAAAATGTACACCGAAAGTTATTTTTCCATAGGCTGTAACTCCTAAACGAGTGAGTTTATCGAAAAAATGTCTAGAATAAAAAAGTTTTTTAATTGTATGTTCCATCCGAAAAAATTATAAAATATAGGATGTTCCATACAAAACTTCAAAGTTGGCCGCCATTTGGGAAAATGGCGGCTGAATTTTGAAAAACTAAAATCATATTTTTAACTTCCACAAAAAATTAAGGAATGTGCCCCATTTAAAGTTTTCTCTAATTCTTAGCGTTTCCAAAATCCCAATGGTGGCCTCCTTGAGTTGATCACCCTGTACACTTTTGGAGGAAAGCTTCCCCTTTAATCTCAGTCAATAATGTACTGTATTTATAATTTTTTGTTAAATTAATTTTAATAGGTAGGCTACTTAAACAAGTTAAAAAACAGTTTATATGAGAAATATGTTTTTTTATTCCTGCTCAACAATATGAGATATGTCTGTAAATTATGGTCTCCAAATACTGTAGCTCCTGTCGGCTACTATGAGGATACTAAACCTCTTATACAGCTGGAACAGGCTAGAAATGTAGTGGAGGAAGTAAAAGAACACCGCGCTAGTTTCATTCATGCTCTTTTGGTTACCTCAGGAGGTTGTTGGAAACATAAATATTTGAGCATTAAACAGAAATTTTTGTTTTTATTTTGATTTTAGGTTTTTAGTACAGTTTTTGTTGTACAAAATGATTCAGGCAAGACAGTTTTGCTGTTTGTTATCAGTACTTCTGTTTGGGAATGTGGCTTCTGAATGGATGGAACTGCCAATGATGTCACCCACAAAAATCTTAACCACTCAATCTCCAAACAAAGTCAATATGGCTTCATTTCAAACCGCTACACAAATATCTACTGAAATGCAAGAAATCGTTGATACAACTTCCCCAGAGGATTTTTCAAATGAAACTGGACAAATCAAGATTACAAAAAACAGTTTTAAAATAGTACCAAGTAATGAAAAATATCAAAGTCATGGTGTTGATGGCTTCTCAGATTTTACTAATTACAATAATAAATCTTACACGAGTGATCAGAGCAATATTAGTGATGATATGTTTGTTATTGAGCAAACCATTAAAGAAACTCAACACAATTTTGTTGTAAAGCCTACAAAGGGAAATATAGAAGAAAAGTTAAATAATCTAAAACAGTTAAAACATAAACTACAATCTCAACTAGGTAAGTACTTACTTACATCAGCAGCAATGATCGTATTGGATAAGCTTAAGTACCTGGTGGCCAAACATTCCTGGGAGTTATCTTTCCTCCCTTAGAATGAATCTTGTAAATGTCTACACAAGTGTATAGATTACTCAAATAATATCATTTGTAGTTCCATGGTTTGCTTGAGATTAAATACCAGTTATCTGATTCTACCAGAATGAACTACTACGTCCATATCCACAATCTTTTTTAAAAGTAGTCTCCACATGGGCGTCCATCAAGATATGGGCCATAAGACATTTCCAACAATAATCTGTAAACAATTAACATGTGTTTTATATGGCGAAAGCCTCTATAATACCCTTCCCAAAATTAAGATGACGTTGAATGACTATTCAATACCATTTTACCATTCTATTCTATTCTATTTCATGAGTAAGCTAGTTTACCTTCAAAACCCTCTAGCTAATCAAATCACTTATTTTCAGAATGGAATATTAAAAACCTTTGGATCGACCGCCAGGCCCGTGGCAAGAAACTGATGACGTTTCCCTCTTTGGAAGGAGCATTGATGACAATAGCATTTTTAACTTTTGCAGTCTTCCTTATTAAATTAGTCATGGTGAGTTTCTTTTGTAGTCTGCATGTGAATACCTAGGTCCAGAGTTCCAGAGTTTATATTTACTCTCTTTTTTCAGAGTCCTCAAAAGTCAAAAACTTTTTGGAAATATTGTAAGACCCTAAGTCCTTGTTCGGCCAATCAGGAGGGCCTCATGGGAAAACAATACCAGTATTATTGTTTAGCATATTTAGTTATAGCTTCAATTAGTTTATGTAGAGGAGATGGTTCCAGTTATACTTGTTTGTTACTGCAAATCATAAGTGTGTTGAAATTTCTAAATAAATATAACTCTAAATCCTTTTTGTGTTTCAGCAATTCATTCAAGGGCTCCAAAATGCTGAACAAACAATATTAATGACCTTAGCATCTACTCCAGCACCGGTCCGCCTAAGCCAAAGACCAAAGAGAGCTGCACAAAATCTAGCTGCTGCTCAAATTCTTAAATATATTGATGAATTTAGTGTAAGTTTTATTTTTTATTTACCGTAGGGTCAATAACCTTCATTCGTTTAAACTGTAAAATATTTACTGAGCAGAGCGAAACAAAACTCTTTCGTATAGCTTCAAGACAAACTTTCTTACATCATCACGCAATAAGAGCTGAACATATTTCAGACAAACTTATAAAGGTGGTTTCGACTATTAATGAAAAGGTTTGTGAAGAAACAAATTTCAATAATGCCTATAAAAAACTAGCTTAAATTTTTTTAGGTTTAACTTTTAGCTTGTGGGTTTCCATGATAGTTACGAAATACAGTAGACTCCCTCTTATCCAGACTCCTCGAGACTGAGGTCAGTCCGGATAACGTTTTTTTCCGGTTAAACTGACGTCCCCAAAAACTTGTTAAAACAGACCGTTAAGATGCATACTGTATGCAGTATTTGACTTAAATTTAGGATAGCATTGTATTTGGACACATGATCACTGGTCTCAAATCTTTCCCACGAGAACAGTCGTTTCAGTACCGCCCACTTCCTGCCGATCTAGTCTGGTTAAACCGATGTGCTGATAAAAATTTTCCGGTTAAAGAGATGTCATTTTCGCCGAGTGTATTCCGGTTAAACCGATGTCCGGTTAAAAGGTGTCCAGATAAGAGGGAGTCTACTGTAACAGCAAAAATTTAAACAAAAGAATCATAGCATATGATTATAAACAAGGCGATGTACAACTTAAATACAGTGTGCTAAATAAATACCCTGCCGCAGCAAACCTGCAGACTAAGCGATTTCAACTTGTCTGATTATATTTTTTTTGTTTCTATGTTGCAGATTAAACATCGATTTGATTGTGATTTCCAATAAATCATAAAAAATTAATATGGAATAAGTTATGTTTTATCAACTCAAATTGAAGGTAATATAATGATATTGTAATTTAACACTTTTGTGTATTTAATAAAACACATTAATACCATTAACAGACTTTTAATTTGCATCAACCAAAAGAAAAGTAACTACACTGTAAAAAATGTATATAATCTCTATATAAATACATCCCATTTAATTTGCAAACAGTTAAACAAAAGGTTATGATTTCTTGAACTGTAGGCTACTTAAAATCTATACAATAAACTATACAATAAGTTTTTTGCTCTGTAATATCCCTTTTTCAAAGGTCCTACTTAACCTATTTTCAAGATTGAGGTGTCATCTTAAAGCTCATGATCCAGCGCACCTGCTAATGGTAGCGGAAAAGGTAATTTCTTGAAAAGCTTCACGCCCTGTACGTTTTAATTATTTATAAAGTTCACTGTCAAATATCCAGGGTTGCTGACCAACTTTATTTTTAAAGGTTTTAATAGAAGTGTACTACATCAGTTGAATGTTTAAGCACAGTCAGATTGTAAAGACAGACAAAACAGTTTATGAAAATGGATTTTATATGGTACTACTTTTTGATCAATGCATGCTTTGATTGAGGTAGGTAAATAACTCTTCAGTCTTTATAGTGTGGATCAACATAGATCTTTTAAAGTTAAAAGGCTATTGCATTATTATTTTTACCTTAAGTTTCAAACTCTATTAAAACTAGCTGTTACGGGCTTCACCCCGTTTGACTTCATAAGTATTAATAAAACTATTGATTGGTTAAGTTAAGCTGAAATAAAAAAAACAAAATACAGTAATACAAACAAATAAATACAGCTGAGGTATTTTTAACATTAGGTATATGGAAAGTTCCGACGGTTAGAACGGAACAGAGGGTTAGACGGATAGAAAGGAATTACAAACCTTAAAGGGCAATTTATGAAATAATGCATCGTTTTGCGCAAGGTTTCTCGTTATGACAAACATTTTAAGTACCTATATGGTTAAGGGGGGTGTGACTTTTAGTTTTCTCAAAAGTTCATGGATGCTTTGGGATTTATATAATGGATGTGCAATTTGGGCATGGATAACCTCATATACTTAATTGTATTAATCTCCTATGTACCTACTTTCTTTTGTTGAAAATCTTCCTGTAAGGCACACACTGAATTAGTGTAGCATCGTCACAGCCTGCATAGCAGTCGGAAGTTAACAAATTTAAAAATAAATTATCTGTTTGAATCCAATCTTATATTTAAAATGAGGGAAAGACTTGACAGAGAACATAGAAGTGAGAGGAATCAACTTCATAAGCAAGCGTAAAAAACAAAGGGATACCTACATCATGAATCTTGTATCATACTCATGACTACTTGTCTCAGCTTGCTTAAATCTCACATATTTTTTACTATACATAAATCCTTTCTTAGTTTACATAACCACTGTCTATACATCCATTAACTATTGGATACTGAAGTAGACATCCCATATATATGGAACAGCTTTCGCCAATTTTTTTATTAAAAAATAACGTAGTTGTGTGAGCCAGTCATAGAATGCGCTAGTGTCTAAAATTATATTTTATCCCTTATCCTATGTTGCTGACCAAGTTGATGGGTCGCAACTGTTGCTATAGCTCACAATAAGTCATTTCATTAGTTAACCGTGGTAAAAAGTTCATGTATTCAACTATTTAAAGTAGAAAGTAGAATGAAGTGAGATGCCTTGTGTAGCTTTATTACTGACTAAGACCTGCTGTGTCATTAGTCATGACCATTTTTTAAAGCCCAATGATCAAGGAAAGCTGGGCCCAATTAGGAACCATCGAAAAAGCTAATATAACTTTTTTTTAGGATAGTTGATTACTAGAAGAGCACCATAACCACTCAGCTATCCAGCTATTATTTGACGATGATTCTTCATGCCAAAGAGTTGAAGGGGAATGAGTTTCGATTTTTATATATGCCAACATATTAACTTCAAAATTAATCCATCTACATATAGTTGAAATTTTAGGAGTACAGTTTGTAAATGAATATGTGTTATGTTCATTTAAACATTTTGGGAATACAATCTAATCAAACAACAGGTCTATAAAACACATTTAACAGATTGGATGATTGTTTTATTGAATTACTATTTATCTTTTAAACCTTGAATAAACTTATAAACGACGGAGAAATCCAAGTCCGCTTTGCCTTGCTCACAGACCTTTTTGTAAATAGCAAGTGCTTGGTCTCCTAAGGATGTAGATGCTTCAGCTCGTTTGGCGATTGATTGGGCAATCATTAAATCTTTGACTATCAATCGAGACAAAAATCCACCCTGGAAAAATGTTCATGGTTAACAGTAAAAAGGCTGTGATGAATAAATAATCGTTCAAATAGTATGTCTTTCAAGAATACATAATTTAAAAAATATGAGAACACAGCAGGAAAATCATGGGTAACAATTTGTGTCGTTAACTGCACTTGTTAAATGTGTAATACCGTAGTAAAAAAAACAAAAAAACTAATACCGTTTGAAAAAACTAAACAAGCAATCTTCCACTTTAAAAAATATTTATTATAAAATTATGTTGGTTAAAACAATATTTTATTGATGTTTTACATTTTACCTGTTCATCTGCTTTTATAAAAAGATAAGAATAAAAAAATAAAAGTAGGTAAGAAGGAATAACATTTTCACATACTGTACAAATCCTTGTGTGAATATTGTGACTGTTACAATTGTGTTGCTCTGGTCACAATATGATGTACGAGTAACATTATATTAGTTTTAATTTAAGGGTTTTATTAATTTCAAATTAAAGAAATTAATAAGCATTCTTGATTTTTTATTTTTAAAGTTGTTGATTCAACCTTGTAAATAAAAGTTGTGCAAGATTTACAGAAGAGACAAGATTTAAGTCTGGAAAAACTGGAGTTATTCCAAATAGTAAGATTTGATCAAATAACAGCATCAAGAGTGTCATGTGTCGAATTCAGTGTCTCGCGACTACGACTGCTCAGTTGCTTGGAGTAGCCACAGGTAGCTAGGGTTAGGGACAAGTGTGGCGAGGTCGTGCGTCCAACTGAATTTTATACAGACTTGTATGTAGTTTCTGAGTGTGAATGATGAAGTACAGTAGTCAAGTAAAGGAGATGAACTATTTCTCATACTATTAATCTAGCGTCGTAAACGTAGGTGAAACAAACAAATTGGATTGGAGTCCATCTGCTACTAAAAGAAAAACCTTCAAACGGAGGATTTTTCACACTTTGTGATGATTAGAGGATAACAAGAAGTTTTTTTTTTTATTTTAATGTCAAAACGTTCATTTGATGAATATTTATAAAAAATCCCACAAGAATGTGAATAGTTTTATTTCATCTAAGGAGATGCTACCACTTACCTTAACTTAAAGTAACTATAATAGTTTTGACATTAATATCACTATAAATATAATACAATTTTGACACAAAAATCGTGACTGAGGCGAATTAGGGAGTGGGGGCGCTGTGGTCCACGACTGTGGCTGTGCATAATTAACAGCATATGAAAACATGGCCCGCTGGTGGCGCGACAGTCGTGTGGGCTCGCTACCAGTAGCGAGGGTGCGCAACTCGAGTGGCCAGTTGCGGCGACTGTTGCGTGCCTTGCCACCGCTGTCGCGTCACCTAATAAGCTCCATATGACAAAAAGGCCTGCTTAAAGTGGCCTCGGGCAGTAGCGATGGCGAGCCACTAAGGTGGCTGCGCATAATAAGGATCTAAAGAATGTATCAATCCAATTCAATTCAGCTTATACACCTTAGAAGAAAATGAAAGAGTAATCATAGGAGGTTGTTATACCTGGTAGTTGTTACTAGAAGGCACTCCCTCAAGAACGCCTGGCACTGGGTTGTATGTGTCTGAAGACCAACATCGACCTGTGCTAGAGTTAATCACACTAGCAAGCAGTTTGGGATCCAACCCTAATCTGAAATTTCAAGCCTCATTTATCCCCTTAACCAAACTTATTAAATTTCATTGAATATTTTTGCTATAAAAATGATAGTTTGGCTACTAATTTTGTTGTTGGAACTCTTTAAATATTTCTACAAAACCATTTTTGGATTTATGAACAGATAGGCCTAATACACAATACTAGTATTATAGGTGTTATTACAAAACATTGATCATTTTTTAGAAGCTGCTCTTGTTTTAGAGTGTTTCCTACAAACATTTCCCAACTTAACCATAGCCACATAAAGTTGTCCATGTGTATCATTCATTATTGATAATGTAGCCTACATGGTACCACCATTGTCACCAGTATGTTTACAAATTTCAGTAATTTTTTTTAAGCGACAAAAAAAATGTCAAAATAAATACAATGCTGTGTTATTATGTGTGGAAGAGCTAGGGCTTTGATGGTAAAAAAAAACTTAGAATATGGATTACAACACATTACATGTCAGGCCAACAGGTTAAAAAATATATAGTATACATAGTATATTTTATTTATTAGGATCCTAGAAAAACCAGTGATTTGAAATGCGCACATCCTTCTCATATCTTCTGTCATTCCGTTTTCATTTTCCTATTGTACCTTGATAAGTCTTCATCTTTGCCGTTTCCCCTCATCAAAAATTGTTCTATGCGTCCGATTTACAAAAAGAATTACATTCCTAACCTTAACATTCGAACACTGTTAGTCAAGAACCTGTTAATAACAGAGACTGTACTTTTGAAAACATGGTTTGCAGCTGTACTCTTTTTAAGTATAACAAAATCAATAAACCAGTATATCTTGGTTCTTAGACTCCTACATATTCAAAAGATAGAAATTATTTGTGAACATCGAGAGTGATTTGGTTCACAAAAATAAAAAAAAGTTTTACCTTATTCCTAGATTCATAGACTCAGCAGTGGCAATCATGGATATGCCAAGAAGTAAGTTGTTGCATATCTTGGCCACCTGTCCACTTCCTGACGGGCCGCAGTGTATCACGTTCTTACCCATACATCGCAGGACTGGCTCACACCGTGTTGCCCCCTCCACACTCCCACCCACCATGAATGTCAGCTGGCCTGATGCTGCTGCCAGCACACCTGATCACAACATACATTGCAGTCATGTGCAGGTTTTACATCGATCCATGAATACTACTTTGGTAATCAAACCATACAGTTGATAAGGGTTATCTGTCCTGTCCACTTTTCTCTGTGGCATCAATTAGTGTTTTTAATTGTAAGCAATAATCATACTGGTTATTTCTAAGTCCAAGATTGGTGTTTATTAAATTGATGTGAGAACTTGCCTCCTGAAACAGGAGCATCAACAAAGATGACATTGTTGAGTTGAGCATCCTTCGACAGCTGCTGAGGCACCTGAGGGTCTACAGTGCTACAGTCGATTAACAGTGTCCCAGGTCTCACTTTGCTGCAATTCAAGGTTACACAGTTTAACAACAACTACATTTCTGAACACCAGATACTTCTAAAACAACAATATCTCATGTGCATTGAGTGTAGGGATCTCAATCCTGGGGCTTTAATCCCATTCCAAAATTTTGTGATTTGTCTAAGCCAATCCTGGAATCAATGCCAGGATTACAATATTTTATGATTTTAACTTTTAAGCCATTTCAAATTAGCGTGAAGTCCCCTTGTTGAGTCCTTTAATGTTTTAAATTGGAATAACAAATGTTGTACTGTGCAATTTTGTCGCCTTTTTAAAGAGAATAAATATTACCTACTACATGGAACATTCATCACCCGTCTCTCTTATTCACAGTGTATAGAATGTTGATGAGTCATTCTAGAATTTATAAAATACTTACTAAAAGAAAACTTGATCAACCACTCAACACTCGACACTAAACCCGCTAAGTTGTACAGTTGAAGACCTCAACTACTGGGAAAATATGCTAATATGGAGCCGAATATAAAAACCTAAAACGGTGGATTTACACTTTAGATCTCCAAAACCATGACGAATGAAAATTCAATCAGTCTGCCAGTTTGCTGTGACAGAGAGGTATTTTTCAACAATTTAGCTCTTTAGGTGAGTTAAATTTTAATTTATTAATATATTATAAATTGCAAAGAGTTTATCAACTGCACTTGACATAGCTGTGAACAAATTAGTACAGTACGTAAATTGCCAGATGGAGCTTCAGTCTACCTACCTGATTAATCCCCCTGGTGACTGATAAGTGTGTAACACTTGTTCATTGGTTGCAATCATGCTTATGATGCAGTCAGAATCTATCAAGTCATCCACCTGCTTGGCAACTATTGCTCCTTCCTTTCCTAAGTTCAACGATGCAGTTTCATTGATATCATAAACGCTTACTTTTTTGAACTGTAAAAGATAAAACAGCAATCAAAATACAACATGTGTTGTTTTTTTATATGTTAAACGCCAGTAGCATTTATTAAGGTTTAACATTTTAACGTCTTTTGTAAGGGAACGGTCGATCTATTGTTAGAAAGCATCAATTATGCCCATAACTGGCATCTGGGTCTGGTAACGATCTCGGTTGGAATCAAACCAGTGACCTTCAGATTCGAAGGCAAGCACTATAACCACACAGCTACCCAGACTAAGGCTTTGCCAAAATAAGGTTTTTATTTCAGATACGTAAATGTTATTGTTTTTCCCCTTCTAACTTTAAACACCCCCGCCGCAGCAAACCTGCAGACTAAGCGAATTTCCATTTGCTTGATTGGATTTACACAAAAATGTCTCCTTAAAAATACCACATTTATTCCCTATTTAAATATCATTAATTTAACGGGTAGGTACTTAGGTTTGCTGCAACAGGGAGGGTAAAAATGTGTGTTTTTTTTTTTTGTAAAATGTTAATAGCTTAGAATGAAATGAATGCATTTTCCAAATTTGATCAAAGTATGTTCATAAACAAGCAAACTACATCAGTTTACTTATTCTCCATAAGAATAACATGGGAATTTTAAATTTACAGTTTTTTGGAATTTTCTCCGTAACCATTAGGCGCATAATAGCGCTTCAATATACCAAATTTTGTTTTTCTAAGCTCTACAAAATGGTTTGGAAAGAAAATGTAAAATTTTAAGTTTTTAGGGTTAAAAATGGGAAAAACCAATTTTTACCCCATAAAACCCCCCATAATCACCTGTTCCCATAGTTCGATCATGCTGGTTCACGAACTCGTTCGAATAAAAGTAGGTTTACACGTTTGTATCAAATTTCAACAAAATCGGATGAGTTTTGCTCGAGTTATCGCGCTAACGGACACATATATATATATATATATATATACGGATGGTGTTTTTGGCCTCTAGGGACCTCAAAAAGAAAAAGTAAATCGGTCCCGGGTCCAGGTCTTACCATGAGTACTACGGTAATGGTAATAGCTTATTCCCTATATGGGAAATTCGCTAAAATGAAATCACTGATCAACAATCCAACACAAGGTTTCCAGCAATTTCCAGCACAAGGTATAACTTCGCTGTTAAGCAATTAAGTGATAGGTTTCTGGAATCTGGAATTCCAAACTATCTATCTCCTGTAGAAAATTCCAGTTAAGAAACATTTATAGTTTTAAACTAAACAATGAATACTAATTAGTTGAGGCATAGACAAATTAAATATAGACTGTCAGCCGTGCTGGGGTTACCATGGTTACCATAGATTCTGGCACACACCGCTGGGAGCGCCGTGTAGTTACATAGTGCGTACGCCATAACAAATGGCGCTCCTAGCGGTGTGCGCCAGAACCTATGGTAACCGCAGCACAGCTGACGGTCTATATTTAATTCTTTTTGTCTATAGTTGAGGTAATTAGGCCTCATATAAACTGAGAAAAAAATTTGGGTTTCTGGTTTGTGCACATTCCGTTGATTGTACATGACATGGTTGCACATTTAGGCAGGCTGTAATTACTGATTAATGCCCATAATTATAATATTTACATCTATATTTCTTTTCAAAAATAAAAATAGCCCCTCCGCAGCAAACCTGCAGACTAAGAAAATTTCCATTTACCTGGCTGGATTTAAACTACAATATTCCTTTAATAGGCCAGTAAAAATAGGTTTTTGCCCGGAAATAATTCTCGGAAAGCTGGAAATCGTTTTAATCCTTTTGTTTTATATAGAAGTAAAAGGATTTGAAGTTTGTCCCATTTTTCCAGGTGAGCTTCTGACCTGGGACCACAAAAACCTTGAAATTAAGGGTTATTTTTTAGTTTTTACTAAAACGTTAAAGAACCGTTCAGCCTACAGAAAAACACATAATAAAGGAATTGTAGAGTATAAAATTCCGCATCCATTGAGTATCTGGTGATGAATATGGACCAATATTAAGTTATTTATAGTAATTTAAATACAGTTATTTTATTAAGAAATTATTGAACATTGCATATTTAACATTTATATGTCTTCTAAAAATGGATAACAAGTACATTATTATTTACAAAGTAATTAATACGAATTAAAAATACCCTCGTGGCAGCAAACCTGCAGACTAAGTGATTTTCCATTTACCTGGCTGGATTTATACTAAAATATTCTCTAAAAATTGTCAGATTTATTTCCTATTTAATTAAAATTAATTTTAGTGACTACTTACCTTTGCTGCTACAGGAAAGATATTGAAATGTGTTTTTTATTTCAATGTCGATAGCTTAGTATTAAATAAACAAAATTTCCAAATTTGGATTAAATATATCCATAAACAAGCAAACTACAGCAGTTTATTTATTCTCCATAAGAATAACATAGGAATATAAATTTACAATTTTTAAATTATCCCCGTAACCATTGGGCATACAAAAACGCTTCAATATACAAATAAATTATTTATTTGTTTAAGCTCTACCTACAAAATGGTTTGGAGAGAAGTTATGAAATTTTGTGCTTTTGGGGTCAAAAATGTAAAAATCTATTTTTACCCCATAAAACCCCGCTCCCATAGTACTATTATGATGGTTCGTGAACTCATTAGAATAAATGTAGGTTTACACGTGTGTACCGAATTTAAAAAAAAAATCGTTGTTGCATACCCAACGGTTAAGGGTATAGTTAAAAAATGGTAAATTTTAATTCCCATGTTATTCTTATGGAGAATAAATAAACTGTTGAAGTTAGCTTGTTTATGGATATATTTAAACAAAATTTGGAAATTTTGTTTATTTAACCTATCGACATTGCAATAAAAAAAATCTCAATATCTTCCCTGTAGCAGCAAACCTAAGTAGTCACTAAAATTAATGTTAATTAAATAGGAAATAAATCTCGCAGTTTTTAGGTAATATTTTAGTATAAATCCAGCCAGGTAAATGGAAAATCACTTACTAGTAGTCTGCAGGTTTGCTGCGGCGAGGGTTTTTGTAATTCGTATTAATTACTTTGTAAATAATAATGAACTTGGAATCCATTTTCTAGAAGAAATATAAATGTTAAATATGCAATGTTCAATAATTTCTTAATAAAATAACTTTATTTAAATTACTATAAATAACTTAATATTGGTTCGATATTCATCACCAGATACTCAATGGATGCGGAATTTTATACTCTACAATTCCTTTATTACGTGTTTTCCTGTAGGCTGGACGGTTCATTGACGTTTTAGCAAAAACTAAAAAATAACCCTTAATTTCAAGGTTTTTGTGGTCCCAGGTCAGAAGCTCACCTGGAAAAAGGGGACAAACTTCAAATCCTTTTACTTCTATATAAAACAAAAGGATTAAAACGATTTCCAGCTTTCCGAGAATTATTTCCAGGCACAGCCAATTTTTTAACTAATTTTACTGGCCTATAAAAGCAACAGATGTATTTCAGACTATTTAAATAACATTATTTTTAATGGGTACTTAGGTTTGCAGCTACAGGGATGGTATGAAGTGAGTGTTTTTATTGAATTGTTGATAGCATTGTATGAAATACCAATAATTTGATTGCAATAGATTCAATATATATACATTAATAAACAAGGAAACTACAACAGTTAATTTATTCTCTAAAAGAAAAACATGGGAATTTTAATTTTACAATATTTTTAATAATCTGTTTAACTGTTATATGCATAAAACAACGCTTCAATATACTTATATTTCTTTTTTATGCTCTAAATGGTTTAGAAAGATAAAGATATTAAGATTTTTATATTTTTTTATATAAAAAATGGGAAAAACCCTTTTTTACCTCATAAAACTCCGTTTCCATAGTTTGTTTATGCTGGTTAGCAAACGCATTTGAATAAATTATAGGTTTACATAAGAGAACTAAATTTCATCAAAATCAGATCATTTTTGCTCAAGTTATCGTGCTAATGGACACACACACACATATATATATATATATTTATTCAATTTGACGTTTAAACCATTTATCTTTAATAGTACCAGAGTTTAAAATCCCGGCATTCTTTTGTAAACACCCTGTATATATGAATTTGAACAGAGATGGTGTTTTGGTCTCTGGGGACCTTAAAACGAGAAAGTAAATCAGTCCCGGGTCTATACGGAAAAATCTTATTCCCTAAGGGAAATTCGCTTAAACATACGCTGAGTCCTCAATCCGAGAATATTTTTAACTTTACCTTTTTTATCATGTTTTTTGCCATGTGACTCCCCATTGCCCCAAGACCAATGAAGCCAATTGTTGATATGTTTCTGTTAGCTGAAAGAAAAGTGTATCATGTGATGAACATTATCCATATATATACATTCTAAAGTACCCATGAACTTTTGAGAAAACTAAATGCCACACCCCCATAAAGCATAAAAAGTTTTACTTAAAATGTTTGTCATGACTAGAAACCTTGCGCAAAACTATCCATTATTTCATAAATTGCCCTTTAAGGTCGTAATTCCTTTCTAAAAGGGAACTTTTCATATACCTAATGTTAGAAATACCTCATCTGTACTTAATTGTTTGTTATTCTTTCAATTTATTACCTTATTAAAATCAGGCGTGATTTTGTATTACTGTGTTCCGTTTTGTTTATTTCAGCAACTGAACCAATCCAATAGTTTTATTAATACCGTGAATACTAGAAAAGACCGGTATGGATCATAAATATAACCAAATCTTTTATGTTTTTATTTTATGTTTTTTATGTTTATGATCCATACCGATATTTTTCTAGTATTCGTGATTAATACTTATGAAGTCAAACGAAGTGAAGCCCTTGGGTAACAGCTATTAATTATTAAGATGTGATTTGTCTGTATGTACTGGTGTATAGTAATGTCATACTTTCAATGTGTTTATCAGCAAGGGCATCTAAATTACAATTTTTTTTATGTATAACTTTATCCATTCTCAAAAATAATAAGGTAGGCCTAGTCCTTTATTTTTCAGAAACAATCATCATAACATTACAGGGTGTTAAAATAGGTGGGGACATATTTTACTTAGTGATTCCTTGGGTCAAAATAAAAAGAAAAATCAAGAACATGTTGTCCAAAATCGCTTCGTTAACCATATAGAAAAAAAAAAAAAAAATCATCTTGAGTCGACTTAAACCCTCAAATTGGCGGCCATTTTAATTTTTAAAAACTTAAAATGGCCGCCATTTTGCGGTTTTAAGTCGAATCAAAATGATTTCCTTTCCTAACATGGGTCTCTTCTACCTTAACGTACATACCAAGTTTCATAAAGATTGGTTGCAAAAATTCCAAGATAAAAATGTTTATGTAAAAAATACAAAATGGTGGATATCTGGTTAACAAAGCGATTTTGAAAAACATTTTGTTCTTGATTTTCTCTTCATTTTGACCCAAGGAATCGCCGAGGTAAAATCACCTTTCTTGTCTTTTTCTTTTCACCTTTTTTGAACACTCAAAATCAATGACTTTTCAAATGTTAGTAGTAGGTAGCCCTTACCCTTACATGTTTTAACCAAATGTATACCTCTCTAGCACAGATGTGTGCATTTTGAAAACCTTTACGAGTGTTTGCAAAACTATCCAAATGACCATTATTGAATAAAACTAAATTTATGCTATTAATTGACTTTTCTCTTAATTTATAGTACATACTTTTCTCCCGTTAAAAATTGCCACCATGCTGAATTAATTGTTGCACATGCATGACTAGACTTAATTAATTGTGCTTGACAATTTGAATTTTTTTGCCTGATTTATACAGGGTCCATACATAAAAAAAACGTTTCATTACTTTGGGATATGAATCCTCATGCTAATAGAAAGAAAAAAGTTTATGAGAAGGAATGTCTGAAAATGCATATTTTCCCAGATATCTGACATTTTGTTTTTATACAAAATTAATTTTTATATTATGTAAGTTTTTCAACCGATGATTATGAAACTTGGTAAGAATTATTAAGGTACACAAGACCTTTTATAGAAAAATAATACAGTAAAGTTGGTCCAACTACAAATTTCAAAATGGTGGCAGTTTTAATTTTTATTAACTTTAACCCAAAAATGGATAATTTTATAACAAATGTCAAGGTTACTTTCTTTTAGAATTTTTAATTCCCTATAAACGATACCAAGATAAAAAAAATTGGACGAGAAATAACTGAAATATACCAAACCTTTTTTGAGAAAAAATAAGGCAAAGTTAGTGCACTTCATTTTACCCGATCTTGCAACTAAAAAACGTTCTATTTACGTTATTTGTAGTCCGATCTTTTTGTTCAATGGTGAATTTAAAATGCTAAAAAAAGTATTCTTGAAATTTGTTTATAAAAGATTATCCAGTTTTGAGTTATTTAAGCCACCATTTTAAAATTTTTAATCGGACTAACTTTATTTTTTTGTGTGTATGGTCTTGTGTACACTAACATTAATGACATTAATTAATGAAAATACCTAAGTAAACATTTTTCAAACACTATATTAAACTGAAAAATAATTACAACTCATACTGAAGTCATAATTTAAACTATTAATGTTACTTACTAGCATTGCATTTGAATTTGGTTTTTAAATGTGATTTTGTTGCAAACAAGAATATACTTTTTAACAACATTCTATACAAACTAACAATACAGATACTATTCAGTTAAAAGTATGGAATAAGTCCTTTTTCGAAAAGTTTACTTCAATACACTTTTGAATAAACACTAAGCTCATTATCACAGATCTACACAAACAACGTGATAACGCTGAATTTGGCGCACGCGCGCGCGTCAAGGACAAGTAGCCTACATCACATCACATCCTACATCGCATGCACCATGCACCGAAAGAAGTACAAAGCCCTCAGAAATAATCTTGACTGCATTTCTTTTTTCTTTCCTCTCCCCCCTATACATACTATATGCGGAGAGAGTATTGTTATCGTCAACATTTTAGTTTTGAGTGGAACTATTCGTTTTGTGTTTCTCTAAGCCCAAAACAGTGATTCTAATTCTATAAAAGTGATGTCTACGTGTCTGTACGCGCCCGATTTTGTTTAAATTTGCTATGTGGGTACTAATTCAAAAGACATCGCTGGTAAAAAAAAAAATGGGTGATTATCCCATAAACCTATAATATAACGGTAACAATAGATTTTACAAAAACGGCCAAAAAGGATTTTGATTAAAATTTAGCATGGTCCCTGTAACTCTACATAAAATAATAGTATAACGCTCAATACTGTAAAAATTACGGTTCAAAAGTTATACAACCATTGCGATACAACCCATAAAATAGATACTCCCATAGATACTCCCACCACCTAACATATGATAGGGGTTGTTAACAAGCTAATTGTAGAAAGTGTGTCAGACTGCTGCGATACCGTTTTTTGTTGTTGTAGGCATCTTGTCAAGAGATGAAGTTAGAATAGCAAATACGTTTTAACTTCAAGATGTTAGATCGATCACCTCACCTGGGACTGATCACATTGTACGTGAAATATTTTTCATCATCTGTGACCTTGCATAACGCCTAAACCCCCATCCCCCCTGTAATATAACGATCTGCAACCTCACTCCCACCTCACACCATCCACACTACCAGTAGTCGCAGTTATAGTCTGGGCGCTCGGACTCTTGTGTACTGAGTATGTTTTATCTATGGTACTAGCCATCCTGAGAGTTACGGATCACTCACCCCCACAGCCCACAACCCTAAGCCACTGCACTGACGGCTTGCCATGTGGGCCAGATGTTTTTGGAAATGAGCAATAAACTCTCCCCTCTACACCCCCTGCCATAGCGCGCCCAGACTAGCTGTGACTACTGTACCCTTGCGCATTCAGGTCGCATCAAGATTACGTATATTTTTTAACGATGACTGTATAAAATAAAAGTATTTGTCATTCTTATAATTTGATATAACATAAGCAGACTTGTAGTCAGTTAATTATTAGTTTAGAATGCTCATTAAAGCCCATGAAATGTCAGCCCTTGATGTTCTAGTACTCTGAATTGATTCGCATTGGGTTTGATGATGATTGTAGTGTCCAATCGAAATCGATCACCACTTACCATCTTTTTTGTATATTTACCGTCTTGTGAGTAACAATTCCACTCCATCACTGAGCTATAATTCTATTATAATTATACTATAATTATAATTTTAGCTCAGTGCACTCCATTCCACTCCACTCCCAGTCCCCAGTCCCAGTCTCCTCTCGCTCCCACCCTCAGTCAGTCCAGTCCTCCTGTCTCCTCTGTTCCTCTCCTGTCCCTGTCATGCTGTCATAAACTGGCCGAATGGCTGAAGTACCGACTACCGACTAACTAAAGAAAGACTAGTGAGTGACTAGTGCAGTGCTAAGCTAACCTAGGTAACAATATTTTTTTTATTATCTATTCAATATTTCAAACTTTTATAATAATTTACTGTAATATTATACTATTCAAACCTAAAATTTGCTCAAAACCTAATACAGTAGATACACACACTATAAAAGGAAAACCTTTCGGTTTGTCTTTCTGTTTGGGGTGTTTTTCTAAGCATTTGAAAAAATAGAATTAAGTATGCTAATTGACACCCATTCTCAAATTGAAATTTGTATACTTTCTAAGTTGTGTATTTAAAATACATTTTAACATCTAATGAATTCATCAAACCTCCCCGAACCGGTTCCTATAACCTACTTGTTTAATAAGGGGACATTATCACTAGACAGGATAGGTCTACTGTTAATAGCTACTGTTTATACTGTTCTATGAAATGGCGACCATACAAAGTAGGTATTTTAAGCCAAGTATGAATGGAGATGAGTGTAGGATGAGTGGCGCGATCTTGTAGTCTTGTTAGTGACTAAGGCCGACATTCCTTAACACGTTCGCTGCGGGTGAGTCAGTACTGACCCACGGCGATCGAATGGCTCATGCTGCCGGGTCAGTACTAACCCACACTGCAGTGAATCAAGACGTTGCTCAGTGCGAGCCTAGCGTCAGTCGAAGGTGGACCTACACCACGTTAGCGTGTAGTGTGTGTAAAGAAAAAAGAAAAGATTCTCTAACTTCTACTTTGGCTGCACTTTACTTGACGTCCTACACTCATTCGATTGTTTTTCCAATTCGATATTTTCATTCGATTGTTTCATTTAATATATATCGTTTGGTTAGTTAGGTTAGGTTAACCTTACCTAACTTACCTAACGATATATCGAATGAAGCAATCGATTAATCGATATATCGATCGATATTTTCATTCGAATGAGTGTAGGACGTCAAGTAAAGTGCAGCCTCTACTTTATTTGTAAAGAAAAAAGAGAAGATTCTCTAACTTCTACTTTTTATATATTTAAATATTGTATTTAAATATATTTACTCCTTGCAATGCTCTCAAAATGAATTCTTTACAAATTTTGGTTGTCCCTAGGTTGGAAGAACTTGGAAAGTAATAATATAAAACAGAGCTTTGGCAGTGGAAGCTTGGTGTTAAAAAATATTTGAGTGGGCCCTGTGAAATAAAAAATACTCCCCAGAGATCCTTATGGGACGTCCTTGGTACTGTTTGAAGTTCTTCCAGAATGCAATACCTTTTGTAAATAATATTTACCAATCTTAATTCTACACTGAATTTAATCTGCTCACTACCACACTACCGTAGTATTTAGTGTTGCACTTAAAAGGTGAATCTTTTGTAGTGGCCTATGATTTACTGAATTACCTTTATTCCAATAGTTAAATAATATTGCTAACAATGAATTACCAAGGTTATAGAGAACTAGAAAGTGAGTAACAATTTGATTTATTAAACAGAATTAACGAATTGCAATTGATTTCAATTTACAGTTGCTGGTTGTGGTTTATTTAATACAAAATGACCTTGAGTGACAATCAATTTGAAGTTTTTGTTTGAGAATGTTGAATGGATTTATCAAAAGGGAAGATACGGTGCGGTTTCATACTGATCTCGAAAGTGTCAACGGAAGAGTGGTATTTAATTTAATGTTGAGATGACCAGTACCAAGCAAATCCAGTTCGTTGGCCAACGATTCAAAAACGAAGGTCGAGTCTCGCATTCCAACTGATTAAACAATATTGTGCTTAATCGTAGTAGTATTTACTAGAATGTTGCTTATTGTTTTATGGCTAATTTGGTACTTTGGCGGTTCATCTATACGCAAACTGACACAGCCTCCGATAACACATCCGTATCTAGCCGAACCAGCTACCTGCTCCCTCCTTTGATATTAATTTAATTCCCCCAAATTAAATACTGACTGTGGCACTTGTTAATGAATTGTACCTTAATACTCAACAATGAAATTCGATAATGACTCTGTGAAAAAATTCCAACACTAAAAATCTTATGAAGTAGGTAACTCTGAATTACCCTACAAAAACATTTTCGTCTATTTATTCTTAATACTATTGGATCATCACAGCTTAGTAAATAATACAGATTGTTACACTATAAATGGATATAAAAATCAGCAAATTGAATTCGAACCTGGAAACATGAGATTATTTGACATGAACTAACAAAATATAACAGGAAAATTTACCATGTGCGACTCACTGAATTCTAAAGTTAACAAATAAATAACACAAATTACTTACAATTTTGGACGTCCACAATAAACACTGACACAAATTGAAGGATAGGGATGAGGAATTGTAACTAGCCGGTTTTCTAATAAAAAACGCGATCGATTTGAACTCGTGTGACGAACGTGAAATTTCCAAATGGCGGATTGCGTTGGCCGGTAAAACAAACTTTTTGACACTTGTTTGACAAACAAAACTGATTCTATTTTCCACTCGCGTTGCAAATATATCCCTTCGGGATATAGGCTATACGATTTCGAGAAAATGAAAATTTATCCGACCAACACCGCGAAATGAATTTAATTTGCACGAACGAAAGTTTCACCGACTAGGTACGTTGGAGGCGGGAGAGGGACAGAACAGACACTGAGACTCTCGTTGCTGGCGACTAGTTCTACCCCTACCACTTTTGGTTGGAATTTTGGGTATCTGATCAGCTGACTATTTGTCGCGTCTGCTACGCATTCGTTGTTTTATACGATGAATCGGTACATGTGTGACTTGCTTTGTTCACCGTTGAGTTGGTTCCCGCGTCTCGCTCCCGCCGTGGCGGCTGGGTCGGTACTGACCCACATTACTGTGAACGCCCCTCGCTTTGCTACTTTTTTGTGCTTTATGACGTCATATTCAATTTCAATTAACTTTTTAATTATTTTATTTCAATAATAGGCCTATTAACATTTCAAATTTTTTATATCTCTCATTTTTGTTTAATATTTAAATTTTGTATACTTTTGATGGGTCAGCACTGACCCATGTATACGACGTCACATTACGAAGTCATAATCAGTTCCAATCAATTGATATACTATTTTATGTTGGTTCTTTTATCATAATGACTACATAGGCCTATATCTTAAGAACGTATATTTTTAGTGACATATAGCCTATAATGTATTCAGTGACATTTCCATTTTTTTCTGACTCTGGATCCAGATAGGTCAGTACTGACCCATTATTATGACGTCACTTTTTGACGTCATATTCACTTCCGATCGTATTATATAATATTGTATTTCAATAAGGACACAAAAAGGAATGTTATACAACAATAAAGTTTTTTAGCAATCCGATTCGATTTTATAATTTCCTTTAGCAGTGAACGTGTTAAACACAGCTGTTAACCCTAGAGCTGG